GTATATATATATTTTATAATTGTAATAAAATAAAATAATTATTATATAATTGTTATTAAAATAATAAAAAAATATGAAAATCTGTTAAAACATTTAATTGATATCATTTACCTTTCAATGAATTATTTAAATTAATTAATTATTCAAATAATCAGAAATGACATACTTATGTTAATTGTATATGCAATTATTATATAATATATTTATAATTAATTATTATAATCACAAATTAACATAAATATGTCATTTTTGATTAATGATAAATCTGATATTTAAGAAATTTTTTAATCAAGTACCGGTAAACCCAAAATATTAATTTTAATGTATCCAGTAGAGATAGGGGAGATATATTTAAAATTAAATAGTAATTACAGAATTTATATAATCATCAAGCATAATAATTTTAATTAAAGGAAACTCTAAGTATATATTACAAAAAATCTATAAATTTAAGCTATCTTTAATATTTTTACATTTAAAATTTTAAAGTAAGTATATATACCTAGTCTGAAAAGGATCTTGTTCTCTGATATTACTTAATATAACATGAATAACCTTACAATATATCAGGTTATAGATACATAGTACAAGGTCCAACATGCTGGAGGTTCTAGTAATTTGTTTATAAATTACAGAAAGATTAACCAACTAAACAGGTTAAATAAGTAAGGCATATCTAGAGAGTTTAATATATTCTTAAAGACAGTCAATTATTCTCATCTATGAAGATCCTAGGTTATACTATGTTAGAATCATATCTAAATTGTATGTTAGAAATACCTATTTAACTACACAAGCCTTACATATAAAGAAAATACACAGTAATTATTAAAATCCAGCAAAAATTCACTTCACTAGAAGAAATTTTCAACAATTTTGAAATATCATCATCAGGTTTACATTAAATATAAACTTAAAAAACAGAATACAATTTGAAAATAAAGAATGTAACATCATTGGTTGGAATCTAATTTGTCATACTTGATGCCATTGCATGTAAATTGTGTAAAAAAATGTGTGTTGGACTAAAAAGATATTTCAAACAATTTCCACATGTCGAAAATCTCAGCCTCCTTATAGTTAACTGCAGTGTTTTTGTAGGACACTAAATTTCTAGCCTCTCTAGGTGTTTTACTAGAGACCAGTTAGAACCTGGGTGTAGAAGGTGGATTTTATTAAAGGTAGCATTAAGGCTTACATATACAAATGAATATATTTTTTAAATTTCTTTAAAAATAAAACTTCTAGTAATTTAATTATATTTTAATTAATTTTATTGCTATAATTAAATTTATTATTTGTCGTCATAATTTTTATATCAAATGGCAAATTCTAAACTGTCAGATTATTTTTGGCTAAACCAGAGATAATTTTAATTAATTAATTGATAAAATATGACCTAAAGGTTGGTAGTTACATCATCTTGTATAAAGATTTATAATTTTGAATTAATTAAAACCTTAGAAATTTGATTGATCCAGAGTGGAATTTAAATCCAAAGTTTGTGCTTATATTTGACAATTGATTCTTAAGTAATAAATATATCTGTAAAAGATGTTTTTAAATAAATAACCATTCATGTTGTCTACTGAATGGGACATTATTTTCATTAGAAAGTGACAGATAACATTAGCAATTTATGTGAAATACTCATACAACTAACAGAAAAATAAACAATTCAAACTGCTGAATGGTAGCAATATCTTTATAAATGATTACAATAAAAGCATTTACTCTATCAAAGTACAATAAGTTCAAATAATATTAATAGAAGCAAATATAATAATATTTATTTGCTTCTTTTTTTTTAGCAAATTTTATAATTTCAAAATATAAAATAGTTTTGGAATATTTAGAATTTTTAATATATTATTTAAATTCAGTTAACTGAATAAAACTATTCTAAAATTTCAAAAATCTTATGATGATGTAACAATATATTTCAATGCTAAAATTTTTTTTCAAAATCTGCTAAATTAACTCATCAGAATATTACAAATAATTTTTATTGTTTTCAATTAATCTTATTTAAAATTCTTGATTGTTTCTATCATTTAAGTTCTTATTTCAACAAAAATAATTCTCTGTATTAACTCTAAAATTAAAACTATAACTGAAAATTCTATAATTTAAAAATAGTAATACAATTCTTATAATATCATAACAGTTAATAAGGTTGGCGGAGTAAATGATCATTACGACGAAACATTTATCGAAGCAAATCAATAAGATATATAATAGGATATTTCGGATCAGACAAACAAGCAATTCTTTCAAGATGGAAACACAAAATTAATTAATCTCTTCATTAAAATGAAGTTTAAAGAAGGATAAAAAAAATAAATATATTTTATCTCAAAAACATTTTTGGCAATTTCAATCTTCACATCAATTTGAATAACAATGATAATTCATAAAATGTACAATTAAACTTTGAATTTAAAATAAATGTTATAATATATACATGAAATATTACACATCAAAACAATTATAATTATACAGGCTACAAAATTTAAAATATTCTTAAATAGGCTATAATAATATAATTGCGAACAACCAACAAACCAAAGAATTTAGAATAATATACTCTATTAAAATATAGTAATTCTCAATTATATATAAATGTCTATTTTACAAAAACAAAACAATTGAGAAATATAAAAGTTTACTTTGTATTCTACTAATTTTTATACACTTTGAACAGCAAACAATACTGATAAGATATCCTTAAGAACAGAGATTTTTAAGGTTTCCAACTAAATGCACTTTCTACAACTCTGTTTGTAACTAATCAAATTATAATATAACAATCATTTTTTATTTACTCATTACAATACGATAAAGAAATAAAGTAATCGCCCAGTTCAAGTAGCCAGGTCTATCGATCGTTTAGCCCAGAGGTCACCAAACTTTTTTCGCAGCGGGCCAGATAACCGAGAATGACGAGCACGGGTCGCATAACCATTTTATTCAATACAGACACTGAATACACAAAAAAATTAAGATGTTTGACATTTATTTACCAATACACAAACACGATGGCTGCAGCAAGCTAATAATCGCTTTCCTTAGAAACTTCATTGAGGTACCGGTACTTATACAAAAAGCTCTGATATCCAAAGTCACCAAATTTTTTATTTCACCGATTTATCTAAAAATTATATTACTGTCAGATGCAAATATCAGATAGGACCAATTTTGGCATTTTTACTTACAATTATTTTAATTTGTTTTACATGGTAAGTTTACCTATACTCTATGATATTTCCATATAAGTACAGTAGAACCCCTCTAATCCGTCACCTTTGGGACTGGGGGTTTGGTCGGAATGCAAAAAAGGTCGGATTATCAGAAAAAAGTAAAATAAACAATCTTCCCCTTTGTCCAATCTTTGTAGCACTGCTAATTTTTCATTTAATGAAAGAGTAACGCGTTTACATTTCACTCCTGACATGTTGAAAACACACACAAAACTGTACATGTACACACAATGTAAAACATATACTGTAATGAACACAGAAAAACGCCATGGACGGTGAGTCGCCGACGAGTTGGGACAAGTTTCTCGACTCCGACCACAGTCGGATTAACCGGTGTGACGGACTAGCCGAGGGCAGACTAGAGGGGTTCTACTGTAATTATATTTTAGTTCCTTTGCGGCACAATGTGGCAACAGGCCAGACGAACCGATCTCGCGGGCCGTGGCTCAGTGGCCTTTGGTTTAGCCAAAAAACCTCGTCTCAAAAGACAACCATCCAGAACTTATAACTCGAGATCGAACCTTTCTTTTAATATAACTACCAAGTACGCAAATTAAGCAATTATTTTGTTCGTTCGTAAACGACACGAAACCAAGTTTCGTAGACTGTCACTAAAACGTAGTTAATTGACAGAAAAGCAAGGCGCATTAGCGCGTCTTTACCAGAGCTGTGGAGTCACGTAAAAATCTACCGACTCCGACTTTTCCTTACAATCCAACTCCGACTCCGGCTAAAACACCAAAACTTCCCGACTCCGACTCTGCAGTCCTGCCAGGGCTGCGGAGTCGCGTAAAAATCTACCGACTCCAACTCTTCCTTACCATCCGACTCCGACTCCACAGTCCTGGTCTTTACGTACCACGGTAGTTCTGGCTTCGACTACCGTCGACGCGCATAAAACACCGTTCCGATCTCGAGTTTTAAGTCCCGACGACCAAATTTCTTAAACAGTCGCTTAAAACGTAAACAAACGATACTCCTCCTGGCCGAAAAGATCACAAATACATATATTTACAGACTGAATTGTGTATTTTAGTACTACCGTCCGTAGATCTGTAAATATACGGTAACGACATTAAAAATGCATTCGGTATTTACACACAACTCGATCACAACACTTAAACGAATACGTATGTATTTATAGAAAATCTAGTGCAATATTTCATTTTATTACAGTTCAGAAATGGCGATTAAACTTTTACAAAAGCGAACAATCGAGTCTTTCAGTCAGGCTACTAACAAGAAAGCAAACAGTAGAACGATTGTCTCTAGTTTTCTATTAAACTTTCACGTTCAACAATCACTTAATGGTGACATAATTCCCTTAAAAAAACTTTTTAAACAATACAATATTTAAAAAGGAGTTAACCTTAGTACAATTAAGGAGAAAAATGCTTTTTAAAATGACCCTTTAACCCTGGAAAACGAAAAAAAAAAAAAGAAAAAATAGGCTTAGTAAGTAACCATTCGGCAACTGTCGCCATTAATACGATTTTAAAGAAAAAAATAAACCGGAATTTATACGAAAATACTCGCAAATTAAACACGAAACGGGATTTTTTTTATACGTAAAACTTACCAATTTTACTTTCCTGCTTAGCAAATTCGCTAGAATAACTTTCCGGTTCTTTCACCCAAACACGAAACACTCCTTCGCCCCTCTTTGATTTTCGTTAAAATGGCGGTTGTCAACAACGCGGTCACGTGACCCTCTGTACGACTGCAGACGATTTCCGGTTTGTAAAAAAATCATCTTCAATCCAGATTTTTATATTAAAAATATATATAAATAATTTATCGAATTTTATTTATTTTTATTACGTACGCTATACAAATACACTTAAAAGTAATAAATGATATAATTTATTTATTAAATGTTTTTTTATGTTTTTTCACTTAAAAAAGTCCGTTTTTATGTTCGGGCTGGCAACATTTTATTAAATTAAACCGAATTAGGGTCGGTTAGATTGGATATCGACGAATCGAAATTGGATTCCCCGTACACACACCGCTAAAACCCGTTTCGTGTTGCAACGTCAACAGATAACACTCGCGCGAATTTTATATTTAAATCATTGTTGTAAATTGTCTGAACATTCTTCGCAATGTTTAAACTAATATAAAATAATATAATAATTTCGATAAAACTTAAATATAAATAATTTTTACAAAATGGCGGGCGGCCATTTTACATATGTGCCATATTTAATTGTGTCATTATAATTTAAATTCTGTAAATTTCGTATGTTTTATAATTGCAAATTATATAGCGTATGTGAATTCTGTTCGTATACAAATGAAAGTTAAAAGTTGAAATATTTAAATTTCAAAGGAAAATTTATTTCATACGTATATTCTGAACATGTTTTTAGTTATGTTTGTTGATATTGAATTGAATTTAGGGATGGAAAGTGTCGAAGTGGAACACAGACCAAGAGGAAAAACAATGTAAGAACAATAAAAGAACGGACTACAAGAGATATTGAAGATCTTTGTAGTTACGTTATTATAACGATGATGATCTTATAACAGAGAAGAATACAGAAATGGAATGAATGCCTTAATAAACTAGGAATTGAATACATGCAAATTAGAAACAGAAGAAAAATTGTAAAATAAAACTTGGCATTAATTTAAAAGTTTTAAGTGAAAAATATGTTTACACTTAACAAGTTTATTGAACTTGTACGCGTTATCGTATAGTCGGAAATTATAACTGACCTAGAAATAGGCTATCGGAAGCCTCACCCTCCCTAGAGATATCCACAACGGCTTGTGTTCCTTCCGCACATTTTCCTCTTGTTTCGTAATCAGGAACTACGTTTGATAAATCAATAAATGTTTTTTTTTTTTTAATTTACTCACATCCATTAGTATAACTAAATAAAAGATTCAACTAGCCCAGTGTTGAGAAAAACGTCACTTCATTGTGCCAGTACACAATACGATTTATTAATGTTGTAAACCTATTTTTGGCAGAACAAACTGGTGCTTTGATTCTTAATTAATACACCAATAATTGCATAATAATTATTTTCAGGATATCAAGACTTCAAATTAGGAAAGAGAAGATACAAAAGGATGAAGAAGAAAAGGAGAAAGATATGAAAAAGAAGAATCATCAAGCAAAGGCTATAAGTGAAAAAAACGGGGGTGAGAAACGTCACTAATTTTGTGGTAAGTTGGTTCCTTCCATTCATTTGATATTCATCTCACGATGTGATATTTTATGAATCATCCACACTCTAAACTACTCACGGGAAATGATATAAACTATATTAAAGTTTCCTCAATCTTCTCGAATTACAAAGTAAAGTTTGCATTCAGTTTACGCATGACTGAATTTCACTTTAATTGGCTAAACGAAGAGAAAATGAGTGTTTACAGTTAACAAGTTTAAATTAACAAATTTGTACGCTTTTCTCCTGAATTTAATCTATAAATCTGCTGCTGCTTTCAATGTGATCAAATTTACAAGTCTATAATGAATAGGATGAAAGGTGAGATCAAGAATATTGCAAATGGGGATAAATATTATACTACTTCCTCAATTTTTTTTTATGGAGATTATCCAGAATAAACTACATATTGTGGTTTATTCAGGAAATTAAGAATTTCTCAATACATTAGAAAGAAGTTCGATATTTTAAGTAAGTCTAGGCTAATTTGTAATGCCCTTTTTCTTTGAGTTAACTTAATTCATTATTTATTATTAGGGCTTTTCAGAAGCCAACAGGGAAGGGTAACTTACCATTCTAAGGCTTTAATTAATGATATAAAAGATCCTTCTTAATAAACAAGGAAGTCAATTAAAATGAATGATTTGTTACAAATATTTTTGGGGCTTCCGTAAATCAAAATTCCTCCTGCTGGCCTCTGTGATAAAGCCTGATTATAGTTAAATTTTGGTACGCAAATTATATCAAAGTTACTTCTTTAAACATCGATTCTCTATGATGAGTGGATGGTCGCCCAGTTAATTAAAGGTGACAACCTACCGCTCTGAGGAACACGGGATCTGGACGAGTAAAAAAATCCCGGGAAAGTTTTAATGGGCAATCCGTGCCTGATATGTTAAGACCCTCCTACACCACTCATAATAAATTATGTGAGATGAGCGCATTATAAATTCTGGCATTTTTATCAAGTCTAAATTCACAGTGGGCTTGTTAAACGCCTTCTTAGTACCCACGGGGAAGAAAGATTAAAAACAGCTCGCATTGATTCACCTGCTACCACTCGAAACAGACTTATTCCGGTTCAATTTTTCATGTCAATGAACAATCATAGAAGCGTAATAAAATATTTAATACTAATTCATTTAATTAGCATAAATAATTATAGATTAAAAATCAGTACTTAACACTCTATGACTAGATATGAAAATTGTCTTTCATTTTTATGTTTTTTCGGATATTGAAGTACATTCGTGGAAAGGTAGAGCTGGATTAAAAATGTTGTGTGGAGCATAAAAGATGCAGCAAAATGGCATCAAACTAACGTCATATCCACGTTAGCAATGGCACCATTTGATGTACGCTAGAAGAACTTAAACCCAGTTTAATATTATAAGTGACGCGAAGTTTCCTAGTTATGCTTTTAACGTATTGAAAAAAATTAAAGTAAAAATTAGTAATTTTATGCTTAATGCTTCAGTTACTTCAATCGAACGTTAATACTGTATTTCATCGTCTAGTGTCGAAAATCTTTATCTTTCGCTAGCCATGCATTAAACGATTAAATTTTTCCTGATTCTATGTTTATGTCGCTTCATCTTAATACTTATTTTCAATGTAGTCGATGTGACCCTATATGATTTTTATTTGCTTTGCAACATCCCAGTTTCAATTGAAATACAGAAAGAAACATATTATACGCAATATGCTCTGATTTGTATATAAATGATACATCGTGGTACCGTTCCTTATTACGCTACTCGATTGCATTAAAGAACAGGCCCGTTCGTAATAAATGTAATTCTGGAACGCTACGTAGCTTTAATGTGCTGATGTAATGGAGCTTTAACTAATAAACTAATCAGTCAATTAAAACCTTAATTTATTCAATTACAATTAGGTGTGGTCCACCAGTAGTCGAGTGGATAAAACCAATAGTAGTTGGTCCTGGTTTTCTCGTTTCTAACATCTAAACGTGGACGGCTGGATAGCCGAGCGGTCAAGGTGGCAGCCTAACGCCCTGGGGAACCCGGGATCCCCAGGTCCCCGTCCCTCAACATTCAGCCACCCTGTTGCGGGCTTGCTAAAAGAGTCCCTCTTAGTGCCCACAGGGCAGAAAGACTCAAGAAAACCGCCTAAATATGCTCAAATTTCACATTATAGTCCTTCCAGTAAGCACTTCTTTCTCTTGGCAGATTGTCCGTGTGTTGAAGTAACAGTCAGTTCTCACTAGCCATGTAGACTATACTCTTTTTAATAGACTATTATTTTGAAAATTGCCCATAGAAACAGAGCGACCTCTTTCTCTACATAAGGGATTTTCTAGAGCATTCTTTATTTGCAGCTACCGAGTGCAATTTTCATGCATAACATAGGTTCAACCAGACTCAACACGAGCAAGTGCATACACGTGAAAATTCTGATTATATTGTATTAATAATACAGCATAGTATATACTGTATTAATTAACAGATTCGAAAATAGCGGCAAAAGTTTTTTTCTTTCTTTCACAATTAGCGGTAAAATATTCTATAGACATGTCTCGTATGAGCTAGTTGGGCATGAGCGTCTAGACTATTTTGTGAGAAATTTGTTACATAGTTTGAAGTTGTGCTCATAATAATAATAAAAATACATCTGTATTTAAAAGATAAATTTGAATAAAATAATAATTTATTATTAATTAGTGTGCGTAGCAAAACATTGTAAAAAATTTCCAGTTACGAGTTGTGTAACTTTCCAGGCCACGCTTTGAAATTGCGTTTGGCGCCATCTGTTAAGAGATATTCTTTAAAAACGTTTTTTATATTATTAATTATTTTAAAATGCGAAAAAGTTTAATTTTGAGAGTAGGATTAGTTTTATTTAAAAAATTGTAAATGCTAATTAAGTCAGACCCCATTCGTGCATGATACGACACGTGACCGATTTTTTTTAAACTTGCTTTCATGCGCTTTATTATTTAAAAATAATGTTTTAAATAACTTTAGTGCTATTTTGGGTGTCTTTCTGTTTAGTTTCAGTCTAAAAGTTATTACTTTTAATTTTCGTCTGCTTTCTCATCCGAATGGTACGCCCCTAGTGAGCACAGTAAGAACTACAGTAAAATTGACAAAGCCGAAGAAATCTGTAATAATCCTGTTAATTAATGGCAAATACGACAGTTTATTTAAATAATTCCAACAAAGTAATTTTTTATTTAAAAGCTTTAACAAAATACGTAAATTTTTATATTATAAATCAACAGCATGTTGCTGTTTTGCGACAAAATTATGAAAAATTTCAATTGTCTTAGCGCCATCTGTGGATAAAAAAAGTTTTTTTTTCTACTTATTTAATTTTCGAGTTTCGAAATTTAATATGTTTTTAATAAATTATTTTTATTATATTGTTTAAAACGATTTAAGAAATGTTTTTAAGCATTAATTCTGACTACTAATGTAAACGCTGATTATTATTATTATTATTATGAAAACAAGACCATACTCTATTCTTTCCCCATAGATGGCGATACGACTACTAACCTGTCCTTTTTTTTTAACTGTTTTTTTTCCTAACTCTTTCGATTATAAATTTAAATTTAATTATTTGGGAGAAAACCTAAAGAAACATATATTTTGCTAAATATATGTAAGACTGGTAAAATAATACTTCAAATAAAAGCTTATATTTTCTGCTGATAGATGGCACTGAAATAGTTTTGTGATCTTTTGTTGAATTATGCTGTATTATTTGTCCCGTTATTCTATTTGGGAAAATAGCAGAATGGGGAATTTAGGGAGAAAATTTAACTTTTGTTCATATTCTGAGACCATTGACACTCCAAACAGAAAATTTTGTTTCTCCAGATTGTCAAGACTAATATTTTTTGTATGCATTGTACCTGGTGCAAAAATATTTAGGGGAACTCAAATAGTTTCAGATCTGTTTAGATTTTCATTACAGAAGGTGAGAAGGTTGGCAACTTGCTATTGGCTCACCATCTTCAAAGTTTCAGGTTTAGCTCATGGTCAGAAACATAGACAATTGACAATTGGTTGAAAAGACACTTTCTGCTCTCCTATTTCTTTGGATGCACTCTCATATCTCAAAGCTTCTGTAATTGTTTCTTCCTGCTATTGGTTGTGTATATCTTGCAGACGTAGTAAAGTACGCAGTCTAGTCCTTTTTTCGGGTAGTGAATGGATCCAATATGAACCCAGCCTAGTTGCACCCGAGTGCATATTTTCCCTTATTATTTTTCCAAATACTCTAGCTGGAGTAGGTGTATTGGATCTTTAGCATCGACTTCACCGATTTAACTTTTTGCCCGTCTTTCAAAACCGGTTCCATTGACATCAAAACAGTGGCTTGGGCTGTACCCGTAGAGGACATTTTAGTATTTTTTGAAATGCATATTACAGCCAAATATTCAATTCACTTAAACGTGGCAGATATTATTGTTATTATGAACAATTGAGAGTTTGTGAAAATTCTTTGGCAGTTTAATTAAATAATTAATTGTATCTGTATGATGTCAGAAGAAAACAATACAACAATCACAAATAAATTGTTTGCTTTCAGACAATAAGAAACAAACATCAAGTTATTGAAAATTATACAAAACGTGGATTAGAATTATTAACACATGGGTGGATTGCCCATAGGATTTTTAAGTCCCATTTAGGAATTAGGCAGGTAAGGAAAACCCAGAAAACTCCAGGTAGTCAGCCCATTGGCAAGACAAAAATACTACTAGCATTTGGTGGCTTCATCCACTGGACATTGAAAAACCCAATTAGAACAAATTTATGAGTTAATTCTGTATTTTACTTATTTAAAGAAGTTTGTACAACAGTCATTGTGTTAACCCTCCTCCTAGAGGAAATTTGTGAAAAACGTGACATAAACCAATCATAACTCCGACCAAAAAGCAAACACGAATCCAATCAAAAGCCAAAAATCCTTAGTTTGTCCAGAGCAGTCTGAGCAAAAATGTCTTACTCTGCTTTATATCAGGAGTAAACATCCACTGCATAAAATAATTGAAGATACAGTAGTCCAGTTTAACAGCTCCAGAAAGTGTTCTAAAAAATTAAAAGCTGGTTTTTCTAAAACTGCCTTTTTTGCAAGCTAATAATGGATATGGCCGGGTCCACAATGGGATGGCCAAGTGGAGAGGGGCAGAGTCCTACATATGCAGGTGGACTACCTCCGAACTAAGGGCTGGTTTGAGATGTAAGGTAGATAGATGCATTAATGAGAATGCATACTTGTCATATTTCATCTTTTATAATCTAATTTCTTCCGCAACACAATTCAGTTCACAACTTTCAAGAAATCAGAAGGATTCAGAGCAGAACCAAACTCAGGGCAGTAGATATATCACACAGATAATGACATAGTTACTCGATTTCCTTCATTATCTGTCTACTGTAAATGATATTGTTCAATATAAAAAATGTTAAGGTGTAAACATAAATGAAATAATCATCACACGACATTTTGTAAAGAAATTTATATTCATTATAAGTTCTTTCTTTCAAAATACAGAAAATTTCACATGATTACAACAGTAATCAACACATACATTAATTCAGCTGCAACGAGAGGATCACGATAGAAAATGGAATTTATCTCTTTGAAAGAATCGTTTAACGTCGAAAACATATGGATTACTCTCGGCAAAATAACGACTAATTAGAATAGATGGCCTTTAAATCACAGAAGTATATAAAATGAATAATCATACACACAGTATATTTCAGTAAGAAATTTCTGGCAAAAAGCCAAATAAAACACACCATCACATTCTGAAATGGTATATAGATATACAATAAACTAATTTCCTTCGCAGAAGGTACTGGTATGGCACTAGAACCAGTATTTACAAAATGCAAATGATTATCTAGATATTGTGATGTCCAAAACTGTGTCAATGAAATTCTTCCCGCTCGTCCGCCTTTTGCGATGCTATTAGTAAACGAAAATTGCCTTTGGTACTCGATATCTTTGATAGAGTTACTACATTAGATATTTATCCGTTTGAAATTTAAGTTTTTTGCCGTACCAATCAACGGAGACGAATGAAAATGACAGGATATTAATAACTTTGGTTATTCTGAATGTTAATCGCTATCAAGAGGCTATAAAATTTAGCACATGCCGTTCTCTAACTCTGCGGGACTGTTTCGTCGTAAGCTAACTGATAAAGCAATCCTTGGTAGGCAAAAAACTTGCGCTCGTGGCTGCAATTTCAAATTTGTAAAATCTCATCCTCCATCAACACGCGGAACATCATGTCCTCGTACATAACTATAATTACAACCGTATTATGCTTAACAATTAAAAATGAAAAAAAAAAATAAAAATAAAAAAGGAAAATATTTTGATTTAGCATCTCGTCAATTAACAATTTCAAAATGAAATCTCCTGAATTGGTTTCCCACGTTTGGAAATTTTTTACATCGTAAATTCATTCTGCAACTAAATTATTTACAGGAACGTATTGTCGTCATTCGATAATCGAATGGAAAACGTGAAACAGATATGCACAAATACATACAGTATATATATTGTATATACCACAAAGCAACTGTAGGCAACAACAATTTAGAATTGACTACCAATATTTTTTTTTTTTTTTTAATAGTTTTACGATTTCGCACGAATGACAGAATAACATTTCGTTTTCAACTTTTAACATTCCACACGAAAACGTAATTTTTCTCCGGATTTAAAATCGACGTTACGCTAGAGAAGAACGCATTTTCTATTTTTCCACCATTCACGGCGGCGCTTTTTATCGGTCTGCGGCGGCAAATTTCTAAAGGGACAAGCACATTAATTATTATTGCCAGTAACTGTAAATTCGTAAGTAATTATCATTTTCTAATGGGTAACGTTAATGGAAAACCGATTTAATAATTAACTGACCTTATGATTCGAACTACTTCGTGGAAGGCAGCATCCACATTGAGTGGTGGATCTTTGGCACTTGTCTCAATGTAAGAGATCTGAAAATAGAAAATGTGATACATAAATTTAATAAAGGTGCATATGTCATTTGTAAGACGTGTGCTGAATTATAAAGAACTGATCAAAGCCATGCCAGAGATTTTTAAAGATAATACTGAAACAAGAATGGATGTCTGTTAAACCTTCAAGAGCGATGATAATACTTGGTGACATCCTACTGAATGTTTGACATTGACTGCCATTTTGTTTTGACATATAGCATCCGAACATATGACCAGACTGACTTTTCAACCATTTTATACAGACTGGATCTACAGTCGGGTCAACATGCATGAATGAGAGATAGGCTATGACATCCTAATCAAAACAAATCCATAATACATTAAGGAAATCTAAATGAGATGCATTTCTGGATCTGGAATGCCTTACTGTACTATTTATCTGGATAACTCTTAAGGTCAGTATATAATTTGATGGCAGGATGGAGTCTCAAGGAGCCATTTGCAGCTGGGGCCAACAAACACATTGGTTTATAGTCAAACTCTGACTAGCAACTGACTTGGCATGGTGTGGCATTGGCATCAAAGTTGAACATCATTCAACTTTGGAGTCATTTCACTAGACCAAAAGTGCATGTCTTGAAGAGCAGAGAACAGTGAATATAGTAGAACTCTGCTATTGTACCACCGCATTGCCTTTGAACTTTAAACACACCTTTATTTTTTGAGTATATTTAAAGTCATATCTGAGAATATTGCTTATTTAAATAGTTATGCTATTTATTCATTTAATATCTAGATAGACATACTTTAAATAGGCTTTGTGGTATTACTAATTCTTACCAATTGAGTTGATCACAAATTACGATACATCATATTGTACTGTATTATAAAACATATTATTATACCTTTAATTGGGCAGCCAAGTCGCGTCCTTGATCTTCCGTCACTTTTCTCAAATGAATTAAATCCACTTTGTTTGCTACCAGTAACATTGGATATGAATCACTGTTTAAATAAAATAAAAAACTTTTAATTACAAAAATATATTTAAATAAATAATAATTTCTATAACTCAAACATCTACCATCAAAGATACAATCACAGAAATTGTATCATTGATATTTTTTAAATTTAACTATCCATTTCTGGAACATTTCGAACACATCTTGCATATTGCCTGCTTAAGAAATCCACAAAACACCAAAATTTGATAAGAGTATGCTTTAAGAAAGAAAATGCCAGAAATAATTTATAATTGCTGGAATTTTTAGTAAAAAATTAAATCATTTGAGCTTCTTTAAGCAGTGTTAGGTTAACACGAAAAGATTCGAAATGTCAAAAATCTCTTCATGTGTACAGTAATACCCCGAACTTACGCGATAGGTGGGACCGAGCAATAACAGCGTAAGTCGAATTCGCGTAAGTCGGGGTATAATTTCTCAACGTGTGTAAAATCCAAGTCGGATGTATGTAAGCTAATAAATGTTCTTGTTAATCTTATCTCGTCTTTTGATTCGTTCATTGTTACAAGAAATCACCACATAGAGTCTCTCGAATCTCCGTAGATATAACAAACACAGAAATAAATAACACGAAATAAATTGTAGCTATGTGTCAATTCCACACGACGCGTCCGAACATGTAAGTTGAACAATAGTGTGGAGGGAATGAGCAATCAAGAGTTGCGTGGTGCTCAAACAAAAGATGAATCGACAAGATTTGAAAATCGCGTAACTCCGGATTCGCGTAAGTCGGGGTAGCTAAAGTCAAGGTACCACTATATATAAAAGACCATTTAAATCATGTGTATATAAAAGACAATGTTGATATCAAAAGATTATTATTGGAATTTTATCACTTACAAGAAATTGAAATCCCAGAATCCTGTTCAAATCCTGTTGATCCTAAATTTCCAAGATTTGATACACACAAATCTTGGATTTTGGAATTCACATTGAAATAACAGAATAAACAGCATAAATTGTTAATGCTTAAGTTTACTTTAATTTTGTGTAACTAAAAGGTGTGTAAGAACAATGCAGCAATTGCATATTGTCATGTTTATGCACTATACTTGGTAAGCAAACTGTCATACTATTAGAGTGAGACACTAAGAATTTTTGGTTTTGAAATTATTATAACATTAATTGTCAAACCAAAATAAATATATTGTAACATAAGATAACACACATGTAAAATTCCATTTGAATAGTTATATAAAATATGTACATTTAATATGTATAACATGATATTACGATAGTTCTGACACCTACACATATGAACATTCATATTCATATGCAAAATAAAGAAATCTATAACCAGGATATTCTTCAGTTAATCCTTTAAAATCAAACCAAATCCTTCAATGTTACAACATTTTAAACAAATATATATACAGTATTCCTATACACTTAGGAATGTAATCTTTATATTTCCTTCTCTCTGACTAATTTTGAACAGTTGCCTCAGACATTTATAAATTTGTTTAATGATTCAGAAGCAAATGTTTTGATGCTGGCGCATCATATTTAGAGAAGTTAGAGAGCCAATTGGTGAGGCAGGAGTCCGTGACCAATCCAAATATAATTTTGTCTGAAGAGTTTTTGGATTTTTGATTTTTCTTTATATTTTGCTGTAGCGTACATAACTGCCTTTGGCAACATTTATGGCAGCAGGTAGAATACTTGGTGTCACCATCCTAAAAGCCTCTTGCATTTGCATCTGAAACTCACCAACAAATTGCATGGCACTGCCGGTTGATGCTTTCTTTTTCCATTTTTGGCTGAATGGCAGAGTCTTAACGTATCAAGACAGATCAGTGAAAAATTACTGGTGTTAACGACCCCAAATTTGATCCAGAGTGCCCTGGAGCAGAAGGCTGATAACTTAATTGACTCGATCATCTAGCCATCCCTATCTGTTGAATGTCAAACTTCTCTGAAAGCCACCGATGCACGACTTCCCAGAAATGAGTTGGTGCACCATTGAGCTGCTACCAAACTGTCCATATGTCTACATATCTAGGCATTTGTCCAGTGTCACATGTGTATTAAGATGACAGTCACTATTCAGGATGCCAACGAATATGGAGTAAGAACTTACTCCAAATACTCCACCAGACATATAGTGCAAAATGAACCAATGTCATGTATTTCACATGCATTATGGAGTGCATTCTACACATTATGACAGTTTGTTTCAGAAAAAACTGCCTCATCAATCTGTAAAACTACCCATTTGCAAAGATGAGATGAAATGCAGTACACAAAATTTCAGCTGTCGTTATTACAAAATAATGCAAAGCAATTGAAGAAAAATTAAGCTTAAATCATGAGTAATAAAACTATTGCTTCTATACTTCATTTCACCCTTTCACTGATGTATAAAAACTATTATTTAAATTCTTATTAATATTAAAAAATATTTGCTTCACTCTGTATTAAATAAATTTCATATCTATCTAATTTAATTTGTTAATATTGTTCCAGTTAAAAAATTATATCAGATTAATTAATCATTTTTGTAAAATTAAATAAAGTTGAAGTTAAATTGAATCAATTCATTATAATTTGCCTTTTTGTATAGTCAAGTTCTTGTGAATTCAATTTAATCTATCTCAGTTTTAACAATTAATTCTAGAATTTCTTTGAAGAAGAGAGACATCATTTAATGATTTGCTAATTGTATTAATTGGCTCCTCCACAGATTAATCATTAAGTGAAGATTAACTCTCCAATAATCAGCATAATCAGTAAATAATCATTCTACCGGAAAAACATAATTTAATAATTTTTACTTTAAGACATAAATATTGAAAAATGATGTTATAAATATATATTTCTACTAGCTGTACCCTGCCATGTGTTGCTGTGGCTCAAAATGTATCTATTATAAATGTATAATACTCCCCGTGGGAGTGAATTTCGAAAAATCCCTTCTTAGTGCACATTCTCTTGACATACCCTATTAAAATGCAATCAAAAACGCAAAAAACTGCATCTAAAATAGTATAACAGAAGCCGAGTTCTTCACGGTAAGCCTTAACTTTGTCCCTCTCCCTGCGGGGGGATTTTGACACCTATATAATATACAAGTTCGGATGCGTGCATTGCATATCTCGCCAACCACGTGACTGCGCTGCGCGATTACCTATCTTGTATACTTACGCGTCTTGCCCTTCGCCACCTGCTGATACCAAAAATATAACGCTTACCTAGATGATATCTTTTAATTTATATGAATGTTTAACGGAATAATATACAGCCTATGTCCACCCTAAAGGTCCATTCTAAATATTGGTGAAAGAATTTTTGAAATCAAATGAGTAGTATCGGAGATTACCTCCTACATCCAAACTTACAAACACAATCAAAATTTGTCTATACTAATATAGTTAAGCTTCACAGATTAAATGAAACTTCCTGTAATATTTAAGGTTTATGAGAGGCTGATAAGGGTTATTAAAAATAATTATCAATTTATAAGAATCATGCAATTAGAGCAATCTTTGGAAGAGCATTCCTTATTTTGTCCTCTCAGGATTTTTAAATAATAAACTTGTAATCATAAGGATAACTTTACAGAAGGCAGGTTATCTTGATCTAAGATTCTTTACATCCACGGAAAAGTCTGTCATTTTGATAGGCTCTAGAAACAATACCGTTCCATAGCTATACCTACGTTAACATTTCATTAAAGTTAGTGTTGGTTTGTCTGTTTTTCGAATACAATTATTATGTCCTCCGAATGTTACTTTATTTTGATCTAAGGAAGCTTTTAGTTTGAATCAGAATTTATTAAATTATTTTTAAGTAATCAGACAAAATGCTACCCCCCTCTCTCCTACTTGATTGATAATACCAACCTATAGACCAAAGCAACTAATAGACGGCCAGTGAAAATTTCAGAACACGAAAAAAGTCCGTGCTGTTGACTCGAGACTCTACACATTAATACTGCGACTTGAAGATTTTTAAATGATAAGTATATCTTGAGATTTTAAGAATAGGTTTAGTAAATTCTGTTAAAAACTGTCAAGATTAATTAATGCACTAATCATGTCTAATCTTAAAATGGTGGAATGCAAAGTCATTAATCATATAGATTTAAAATAGTCATTAATTCTGTGATTTGTCTAACATGTTGGTGAAATAGATTACAGTTTTTCTGGAGAATGGAGGCCTAATCAAAAATACATGCAACTTAACTCTTTAAAGGCCCAAATGACGTGACCTGTCATCCTTTGATCCCAATCCTGTTTGTAGGTGAGTGGAAAATAATACATGCTGACATGCAATACTGTACACAGAAATTAAAACAGAGTAAACAGGATGTGCGACATGACTAACATTATTGTGGAAACAGAACTCCCATAGCTGATCACACTGGTGAGTATGCTGAATAACTGAAAGGTTTGAGCGAAAGCATACTGCATTTATATTTCTTTTAATAATTTTTTATCACTGAAAAGTCAATTCCAGTCCACTATAAGAAACATCTATTATTTATATGCTTTACTGAAATATTATGAATAATTTATTATCCTCTTTATATCAATGAAATGCCAATACAGTACTCCATCTATACTTTCAATTCCTATAACAATTAAGGTTTATTATGAGGACAGTAAATTTCAAGGTACCAAGTTGTTGGTTTTAGTAGATTGGATCTAACTTTTTTTGCACTTATTAATTCAAAAGTTCTTTCTAAATATCCGAAGTAAGAAAAATAATTACTTACCGGTCTTTGACACGTAGGATCTGTGTGTGGAAATTACGTATGTTCTGAAAGCTCTGCCTGTCTGTAACGGAATAGACGAGAAGAAATCCATCACCTTTACGCATGTACTGTTCTCTCATTGCACTGAACTCTTCTTGTCCGGCAGTATCCAGAACTTCAAGGGTAAATTGTAAGTTTTAGAACAATAATAATTTTAACAGCATGATAACTATATATTATTACATAAAAATACATCCAGAAAATCAAGCATATAAATCAACATTTGTAGATGGGAATTAAAAGGTCTTAAATAATAATAAATTGCTATGACATTTGATAGCTCCAAAGATAGAATGTGTAGAATTCCAAAGATGTTGATGTCAATAAAAATAATGTTTCTGCAATCATTTCTGAACAACAAAGAGGGTATGCTTAGAAATGCTTATTAATCGCTTACTTATTAGTGTTGAATTACATCATTGGTCGGTCACTCTAAGTCACCAATGAAGTTCAGTAAGACAGGTAGAAACTGGTATAACCAGGAACATTATAGTTAATGCTTTTAAATGGCACCCAGACATGGTGAGTGAACTAATAATCATTTCTAAACAGACCCTACAAAGTAGATTGGACTGATGAGATAAGGCAATGCAACAGTTGATCTGCCAATGGAAAGACTTTCATTAGGAAACTGGCCCCTATTTAGGTGTTAGATATGTGAAGAAAATCTGGAAAACTTCACATATCCAGCCCACTGGTGAGGTGAAAACCTGTGACCAACTACCACTCTACATCTAACATGATCCTGATTTATGAATACTTGATGAACAAGAATTCAGTATAACAAGATGCTATATTTTATCCCTCTTCCCAATTTATGAGACAAACTCTTTAATGTGAGTGCTGATCAGCATTTACAAGAACAAACTATTCTAACTACAAGTGCACTGAAATGTTCTTTATTTAGTTCACAGGTGAACTAAATAAAGAACATTATTTTGAACTGTAAGACTAGATATCTGCATCCATAATTTTCCAGTATAATAAGTCCTGTTAATATATAGAAAGTACTAGTATACAAAATAAATTATAAATGATGACTAACTTCCATCTTTCTCAAGCTTCCCTGCATTTTTCATAATACATTTTTAAATAATTTAACTCAACTAGTTATAACTTAGGCATTAACAATGACTATTTCATATAAAATTTAAATAAAACCATAAAATGGCAATAACCAAAGTCGAAGACATTTAAATTTATTAACAGTTTTGGAGCACTCAAGATTTCTTCAGGTATACACGTTTAAAGTTCTAAAATATAACAATTCTAAGAAAAAAACATTACGGAATTTAAATGTCATTAAAACAATAGAATAAATAATGCGTTTAATCTGACGATAAAGCCTTAAATGCTTTGAAAATGCTACTAAAAGTTTTATAATTATAAAAACATCATTTCATGTTGTATATGCTCTTTGATATTACTGCAAGAAATTTAATATGTTCTTTTAAGCATATGTTAAATTTCTTGTAGTAATATCTCATTAGAATATCTTGTGAATGTGATTTGCAAAGAATACATTATTTTTTGTTTTTATCATAAATGTAGAATAAACACAAAAGTGTCTTCATATTTTGTCTTTCTCTACATCTTTTGGATCTAATGATAGTCTGATAAGGGCTTTGGCAGAGTTTTCCTGTTCTTCGAGGCTTTAGAGTCCCTATAGATTAAAAATATGTGCTACAGATGAAATATTACTAGGATAACAGTTAATTATCACTGCTTAGAAGAAACAAAACAATAAAAAAAAATGTCCCTCATCAGACTATTGTCAGATCCCAAAGATGTAAAAGGAGGACAAAATATGAAGACACTATTTTTGTTCTTTCATTTTGACATCTAACAATTTCTATTAAATAGACTTTCCTACAAAAAAAATCCAAATTAATTATTATTATTGTTGTTTATCAATAAGTATTCTTATTCAAACAAATGACATTATATATCCCATAAAAAGACTGGTGGNATTGTGTCATTATAATTTAAATTCTGTAAATTTCGTATGTTTTATAATTGCAAATTATATAGCGTATGTGAATTCTGTTCGTATACAAATGAAAGTTAAAAGTTGAAATATTTAAATTTCAAAGGAAAATTTATTTCATACGTATATTCTGAACATGTTTTTAGTTATGTTTGTTGATATTGAATTGAATTTAGGGATGGAAAGTGTCGAAGTGGAACACAGACCAAGAGGAAAAACAATGTAAGAACAATAAAAGAACGGACTACAAGAGATATTGAAGATCTTTGTAGTTACGTTATTATAACGATGATGATCTTATAACAGAGAAGAATACAGAAATGAAATGAATGCCTTAATAAACTAGGAATTGGATACATGCAAATTAGAAAAAGAAGAAAAATTGTAAAATAAAACTTGGCATTAATTTAAAAGTTTTAAGTGAAAAATATGTTTACACTTAACAAGTTTATTGAACTTGTACGCGTTATCGTATAGTCGGAAATTATAACTGACCTAGAAATAGGCTATCGGAAGCCTCACCCTCCCTAGAGATATCCACAACGGCTTGTGTTCCTTCCGCACATTTTCCTCTTATTTCGTAATCAGGAAATACGTTTGATAAATCAATAAATGTTTTTTTTTTTTTAATTTACTCACATCCATTAGTATAACTAAATAAAAGATTCAACTAGCCCAGTGTTGAGAAAAACGTCACTTCATTGTGCCAGTACACAATACGATTTATTAATGTTGTAAACCTATTTTTGGCAGAACAAACTGGTGCTTTGATTCTTAATTAATACACCAATAATTGCATAATAATTATTTTCAGGATATCAAGACTTCAAATTAGGAAAGAGAAGATACAAAAGGATGAAGAAGAAAAGGAGAAAGATATGAAAAAGAAGAATCATCAAGCAAAGGCTATAAGTGAAAAAAACGGGGGTGAGAAACGTCACTAATTTTGTGGTAAGTTGGTTCCTTCCATTCATTTGATATTCATCTCACGATGTGATATTTTATGAATCATCCACACTCTAAACTACTCACGGGAAATGATATAAACTATATTAAAGTTTCCTCAATCTTCTCGAATTACAAAGTAAAGTTTGCATTCAGTTTACGCATGACTGAATTTCACTTTAATTGGCTAAACGAAGAGAAAATGAGTGTTTACAGTTAACAAGTTTAAATTAACAAATTTGTACGCTTTTCTCCTGAATTTAATCTATAAATCTGCTGCTGCTTTCAATGTGATCAAATTTACAAGTCTATAATGAATAGGATGAAAGGTAAGATCAAGAATATTGCAAATGGGGATAAATATTATACTACTTCCTCAATTTTTTTTTATGGAGATTATCCAGAATAAACTACATATTGTGGTTTATTCAGGAAATTAAGAATTTCTCAATACATTAGAAAGAAGTTCGATATTTTAAGTAAGTCTAGGCTAATTTGTAATGCCCTTTTTCTTTGAGTTAACTTAATTCATTATTTATTATTAGGGCTTTTCAGAAGCCAACAGGGAAGGGTAACTTACCATTCTAAGGCTTTAATTAATGATATAAAAGATCCTTCTTAATAAACAAGGAAGTCAATTAAAATGAATGATTTGTTACAAATATTTTTGGGGCTTCCGTAAATCAAAATTCCTCCTGCTGGCCTCTGTGATAAAGCCTGATTATAGTTAAATTTTGGTACGCAAATTATATCAAAGTTACTTCTTTAAACATCGATTCTCTATGATGAGTGGATGGTCGCCCAGTTAATTAAAGGTGACAACCTACCGCTCTGAGGAACACGGGATCTGGACGAGTAAAAAAATCCCGGGAAAGTTTTAATGGGCAATCCGTGCCTGATATGTTAAGACCCTCCTACACCACTCATAATAAATTATGTGAGATGAGCGCATTATAAATTCTGGCATTTTTATCAAGTCTAAATTCACAGTGGGCTTGTTAAACGCCTTCTTAGTACCCACGGGGAAGAAAGATTAAAAACAGCTCGCATTGATTCACCTGCTACCACTCGAAACAGACTTATTCCGGTTCAATTTTTCATGTCAATGAACAATCATAGAAGCGTAATAAAATATTTAATACTAATTCATTTAATTAGCATAAATAATTATAGATTAAAAATCAGTACTTAACACTCTATGACTAGATATGAAAATTGTCTTTCATTTTTATGTTTTTTCGGATATTGAAGTACATTCGTGGAAAGGTAGAGCTGGATTAAAAATGTTGTGTGGAGCATAAAAGATGCAGCAAAATGGCATCAAACTAACGTCATATCCACGTTAGCAATGGCACCATTTGATGTACGCTAGAAGAACTTAAACCCAGTTTAATATTATAAGTGACGCGAAGTTTCCTAGTTATGCTTTTAACGTATTGAAAAAAATTAAAGTAAAAATTAGTAATTTTATGCTTAATGCTTCAGTTACTTCAATCGAACGTTAATACTGTATTTCATCGTCTAGTGTCGAAAATCTTTATCTTTCGCTAGCCATGCATTAAACGATTAAATTTTTCCTGATTCTATGTTTATGTCGCTTCATCTTAATACTTATTTTCAATGTAGTCGATGTGACCCTATATGATTTTTATTTGCTTTGCAACATCCCAGTTTCAATTGAAATACAGAAAGAAACATATTATACGCAATATGCTCTGATTTGTATATAAATGATACATCGTGGTACCGTTCCTTATTACGCTACTCGATTGCATTAAAGAACAGGCCCGTTCGTAATAAATGTAATTCTGGAACGCTACGTAGCTTTAATGTGCTGATGTAATGGAGCTTTAACTAATAAACTAATCAGTCAATTAAAACCTTAATTTATTCAATTACAATTAGGTGTGGTCCACCAGTAGTCGAGTGGATAAAACCAATAGTAGTTGGTCCTGGTTTTCTCGTTTCTAACATCTAAACGTGGACGGCTGGATAGCCGAGCGGTCAAGGTGGCAGCCTAACGCCCTGGGGAACCCGGGATCCCCAGGTCCCCGTCCCTCAACATTCAGCCACCCTGTTGCGGGCTTGCTAAAAGAGTCCCTCTTAGTGCCCACAGGGCAGAAAGACTCAAGAAAACCGCCTAAATATGCTCAAATTTCACATTATAGTCCTTCCAGTAAGCACTTCTTTCTCTTGGCAGATTGTCCGTGTGTTGAAGTAACAGTCAGTTCTCACTAGCCATGTAGACTATACTCTTTTTAATAGACTATTATTTTGAAAATTGCCCATAGAAACAGAGCGACCTCTTTCTCTACATAAGGGATTTTCTAGAGCATTCTTTATTTGCAGCTACCGAGTGCAATTTTCATGCATAACATAGGTTCAACCAGACTCAACACGAGCAAGTGCATACACGTGAAAATTCTGATTATATTGTATTAATAATACAGCACAGTATATACTGTATTAATTAACAGATTCGAAAATAGCGGCAAAAGTTTTTTTCTTTCTTTCACAATTAGCGGTAAAATATTCTATAGACATGTCTCGTATGAGCTAGTTGGGCATGAGCGTCTAGACTATTTTGTGAGAAATTTGTTACATAGTTTGAAGTTGTGCTCATAATAATAATAAAAATACATCTGTATTTAAAAGATAAATTTGAATAAAATAATAATTTATTATTAATTAGTGTGCGTAGCAAAACATTGTAAAAAATTTCCAGTTACGAGTTGTGTAACTTTCCAGGCCACGCTTTGAAATTGCGTTTGGCGCCATCTGTTAAGAGATATTCTTTAAAAACGTTTTTTATATTATTAATTATTTTAAAATGCGAAAAAGTTTAATTTTGAGAGTAGGATTAGTTTTATTTAAAAAATTGTAAATGCTAATTAAGTCAGACCCCATTCGTGCATGATACGACACGTGACCGATTTTTTTTAAACTTGCTTTCATGCGCTTTATTATTTAAAAATAATGTTTTAAATAACTTTAGTGCTATTTTGGGTGTCTTTCTGTTTAGTTTCAGTCTAAAAGTTATTACTTTTAATTTTCGTCTGCTTTCTCATCCGAATGGTACGCCCCTAGTGAGCACAGTAAGAACTACAGTAAAATTGACAAAGCCGAAGAAATCTGTAATAATCCTGTTAATTAATGGCAAATACGACAGTTTATTTAAATAATTCCAACAAAGTAATTTTTTATTTAAAAGCTTTAACAAAATACGTAAATTTTTATATTATAAATCAACAGCATGTTGCTGTTTTGCGACAAAATTATGAAAAATTTCAATTGTCTTAGCGCCATCTGTGGATAAAAAAAGTTTTTTTTCTACTTATTTAATTTTCGAGTTTCGAAATTTAATATGTTTTTAATAAATTATTTTTATTATATTGTTTAAAACGATTTAAGAAATGTTTTTAAGCATTAATTCTGACTACTAATGTAAACGCTGATTATTATTATTATTATTATGAAAACAAGACCATACTCTATTCTTTCCCCATAGATGGCGATACGACTACTAACCTGTCCTTTTTTTTTAACTGTTTTTTTTCCTAACTCTTTCGATTATAAATTTAAATTTAATTATTTGGGAGAAAACCTAAAGAAACATATATTTTGCTAAATATATGTAGGACTGGTAAAATAATACTTCAAATAAAAGCTTATATTTTCTGCTGATAGATGGCACTGAAATAGTTTTGTGATCTTTTGTTGAATTATGCTGTATTATTTGTCCCGTTATTCTATTTGGGAAAATAGCAGAATGGGGAATTTAGGGAGAAAATTTAACTTTTGTTCATATTCTGAGACCATTGACACTCCAAACAGAAAATTTTGTTTCTCCAGATTGTCAAGACTAATATTTTTTTGTATGCATTGTACCTGGTGCAAAGATATTTAGGGGAACTCAAATAGTTTCAGATCTGTTTAGATTTTCATTACAGAAGGTGAGAAGGTTGGCAACTTGCTATTGGCTCACCATCTTCAAAGTTTCAGGTTTAGCTCATGGTCAGGAACATAGACAATTGACAATTGGTTGAAAAGACACTTTCTGCTCTCCTATTTCTTTGGATGCACTCTCATATCTCAAAGCTTCTGTAATTGTTTCTTCCTGCTATTGGTTGTGTATATCTTGCAGACGTAGTAAAGTACGCAGTCTAGTCCTTTTTTCGGGTAGTGAATGGATCCAATATGAACCCAGCCTAGTTGCACCCGAGTGCATATTTTCCCTTATTATTTTTCCAAATACTCTAGCTGGAGTAGGTGTATTGGATCTTTAGCATCGACTTCACCGATTTAACTTTTTGCCCGTCTTTCAAAACCGGTTCCATTGACATCAAAACAGTGGCTTGGGCTGTACCCGTAGAGGACATTTTAGTATTTTTTGAAATGCATATTACAGCCAAATATTCAATTCACTTAAACGTGGCAGATATTATTGTTATTATGAACAATTGAGAGTTTGTGAAAATTCTTTGGCAGTTTAATTAAATAATTAATTGTATCTGTATGATGTCAGAAGAAAACAATACAACAATCACAAATAAATTGTTTGCTTTCAGACAATAAGAAACAAACATCAAGTTATTGAAAATTATACAAAACGTGGATTAGAATTATTAACACATGGGTGGATTGCCCATAGGATTTTTAAGTCCCATTTAGGAATTAGGCAGGTAAGGAAAACCCAGAAAACTCCAGGTAGTCAGCCCATTGGCAAGACAAAAATACTACTAGCATTTGGTGGCTTCATCCACTGGACATTGAAAAACCCAATTAGAACAAATTTATGAGTTAATTCTGTATTTTACTTATTTAAAGAAGTTTGTACAACAGTCATTGTGTTAACCCTCCTCCTAGAGGAAATTTGTGAAAAACGTGACATAAACCAATCATAACTCCGACCAAAAAGCAAACACGAATCCAATCAAAAGCCAAAAATCCTTAGTTTGTCCAGAGCAGTCTGAGCAAAAATGTCTTACTCTGCTTTATATCAGGAGTAAACATCCACTGCATAAAATAATTGAAGATACAGTAGTCCAGTTTAACAGCTCCAGAAAGTGTTCTAAAAAATTAAAAGCTGGTTTTTCTAAAACTGCCTTTTTTGCAAGCTAATAATGGATATGGCCGGGTCCACAATGGGATGGCCAAGTGGAGAGGGGCAGAGTCCTACATATGCAGGTGGACTACCTCCGAACTAAGGGCTGGTTTGAGATGTAAGGTAGATAGATGCATTAATGAGAACGCATACTTGTCATATTTCATCTTTTATAATCTAATTTCTTCCGCAACACAATTCAGTTCACAACTTTCAAGAAATCAGAAGGATTCAGAGCAGAACCAAACTCAGGGCAGTAGATATATCACACAGATAATGACATAGTTACTCGATTTCCTTCATTATCTGTCTACTGTAAATGATATTGTTCAATATAAAAAATGTTAAGGTGTAAACATAAATGAAATAATCATCACACGACATTTTGTAAAGAAATTTATATTCATTATAAGTTCTTTCTTTCAAAATACAGAAAATTTCACATGATTACAACAGTAATCAACACATACATTAATTCAGCTGCAACGAGAGGATCACGATAGAAAATGGAATTTATCTCTTTGAAAGAATCGTTTAACGTCGAAAACATATGGATTACTCTCGGCAAAATAACGACTAATTAGAATAGATGGCCTTTAAATCACAGAAGTATATAAAATGAATAATCATACACACAGTATATTTCAGTAAGAAATTTCTGGCAAAAAGCCAAATAAAACACACCATCACATTCTGAAATGGTATATAGATATACAATAAACTAATTTCCTTCGCAGAAGGTACTGGTATGGCACTAGAACCAGTATTTACAAAATGCAAATGATTATCTAGATATTGTGATGTCCAAAACTGTGTCAATGAAATTCTTCCCGCTCGTCCGCCTTTTGCGATGCTATTAGTAAACGAAAATTGCCTTTGGTACTCGATATCTTTGATAGAGTTACTACATTAGATATTTATCCGTTTGAAATTTAAGTTTTTTGCCGTACCAATCAACGGAGACGAATGAAAATGACAGGATATTAATAACTTTGGTTATTCTGAATGTTAATCGCTATCAAGAGGCTATAAAATTTAGCACATGCCGTTCTCTAACTCTGCGGGACTGTTTCGTCGTAAGCTAACTGATAAAGCAATCCTTGGTAGGCAAAAAACTTGCGCTCGTGGCTGCAATTTCAAATTTGTAAAATCTCATCCTCCATCAACACGCGGAACATCATGTCCTCGTACATAACTATAATTACAACCGTATTATGCTTAACAATTAAAAATGAAAAAAAAAAATAAAAATAAAAAAGGAAAATATTTTGATTTAGCATCTCGTCAATTAACAATTTCAAAATGAAATCTCCTGAATTGGTTTCCCACGTTTGGAAATTTTTTACATCGTAAATTCATTCTGCAACTAAATTATTTACAGGAACGTATTGTCGTCATTCGATAATCGAATGGAAAACGTGAAACAGATATGCACAAATACATACAGTATATATATTGTATATACCACAAAGCAACTGTAGGCAACAACAATTTAGAATTGACTACCAATATTTTTTTTTTTTTTTTTTTTTTAATAGTTTTACGATTTCGCACGAATGACAGAATAACATTTCGTTTTCAACTTTTAACATTCCACACGAAAACGTAATTTTTCTCCGGATTTAAAATCGACGTTACGCTAGAGAAGAACGCATTTTCTATTTTTCCACCATTCACGGCGGCGCTTTTTATCGGTCTGCGGCGGCAAATTTCTAAAGGGACAAGCACATTAATTATTATTGCCAGTAACTGTAAATTCGTAAGTAATTATCATTTTCTAATGGGTAACGTTAATGGAAAACCGATTTAATAATTAACTGACCTTATGATTCGAACTACTTCGTGGAAGGCAGCATCCACATTGAGTGGTGGATCTTTGGCACTTGTCTCAATGTAAGAGATCTGAAAATAGAAAATGTGATACATAAATTTAATAAAGGTGCATATGTCATTTGTAAGACGTGTGCTGAATTATAAAGAACTGATCAAAGCCATGCCAGAGATTTTTAAAGATAATACTGAAACAAGAATGGATGTCTGTTAAACCTTCAAGAGCGATGATAATACTTGGTGACATCCTACTGAATGTTTGACATTGACTGCCATTTTGTTTTGACATATAGCATCCGAACATATGACCAGACTGACTTTTCAACCATTTTATACAGACTGGATCTACAGTCGGGTCAACATGCATGAATGAGAGATAGGCTATGACATCCTAATCAAAACAAATCCATAATACATTAAGGAAATCTAAATGAGATGCATTTCTGGATCTGGAATGCCTTACTGTACTATTTATCTGGATAACTCTTAAGGTCAGTATATAATTTGATGGCAGGATGGAGTCTCAAGGAGCCATTTGCAGCTGGGGCCAACAAACACATTGGTTTATAGTCAAACTCTGACTAGCAACTGACTTGGCATGGTGTGGCATTGGCATCAAAGTTGAACATCATTCAACTTTGGAGTCATTTCACTAGACCAAAAGTGCATGTCTTGAAGAGCAGAGAACAGTGAATATAGTAGAACTCTGCTATTGTACCACCGCATTGCCTTTGAACTTTAAACACACCTTTATTTTTTGAGTATATTTAAAGTCATATCTGAGAATATTGCTTATTTAAATAGTTATGCTATTTATTCATTTAATATCTAGATAGACATACTTTAAATAGGCTTTGTGGTATTACTAATTCTTACCAATTGAGTTGATCACAAATTACGATACATCATATTGTACTGTATTATAAAACATATTATTATACCTTTAATTGGGCAGCCAAGTCGCGTCCTTGATCTTCCGTCACTTTTCTCAAATGAATTAAATCCACTTTGTTTGCTACCAGTAACATTGGATATGAATCACTGTTTAAATAAAATAAAAAACTTTTAATTACAAAAATATATTTAAATAAATAATAATTTCTATAACTCAAACATCTACCATCAAAGATACAATCACAGAAATTGTATCATTGATATTTTTTAAATTTAACTATCCATTTCTGGAACATTTCGAACACATCTTGCATATTGCCTGCTTAAGAAATCCACAAAACACCAAAATTTGATAAGAGTATGCTTTAAGAAAGAAAATGCCAGAAATAATTTATAATTGCTGGAATTTTTAGTAAAAAATTAAATCATTTGAGCTTCTTTAAGCAGTGTTAGGTTAACACGAAAAGATTCGAAATGTCAAAAATCTCTTCATGTGTACAGTAATACCCCGAACTTACGCGATAGGTGGGACCGAGCAATAACAGCGTAAGTCGAATTCGCGTAAGTCGGGGTATAATTTCTCAACGTGTGTAAAATCCAAGTCGGATGTATGTAAGCTAATAAATGTTCTTGTTAATCTTATCTCGTCTTTTGATTCGTTCATTGTTACAAGAAATCACCACATAGAGTCTCTCGAATCTCCGTAGATATAACAAACACAGAAATAAATAACACGAAATAAATTGTAGCTATGTGTCAATTCCACACGACGCGTCCGAACATGTAAGTTGAACAATAGTGTGGAGGGAATGAGCAATCAAGAGTTGCGTGGTGCTCAAACAAAAGATGAATCGACAAGATTTGAAAATCGCGTAACTCCGGATTCGCGTAAGTCGGGGTAGCTAAAGTCAAGGTACCACTGTATATAAAAGACCATTTAAATCATGTGTATATAAAAGACAATGTTGATATCAAAAGATTATTATTGGAATTTTATCACTTACAAGAAATTGAAATCCCAGAATCCTGTTCAAATCCTGTTGATCCTAAATTTCCAAGATTTGATACACACAAATCTTGGATTTTGGAATTCACATTGAAATAACAGAATAAACAGCATAAATTGTTAATGCTTAAGTTTACTTTAATTTTGTGTAACTAAAAGGTGTGTAAGAACAATGCAGCAATTGCATATTGTCATGTTTATGCACTATACTTGGTAAGCAAACTGTCATACTATTAGAGTGAGACACTAAGAATTTTTGGTTTTGAAATTATTATAACATTAATTGTCAAACCAAAATAAATATATTGTAACATAAGATAACACACATGTAAAATTCCATTTGAATAGTTATATAAAATATGTACATTTAATATGTATAACATGATATTACGATAGTTCTGACACCTACACATATGAACATTCATATTCATATGCAAAATAAAGAAATCTATAACCAGGATATTCTTCAGTTAATCCTTTAAAATCAAACCAAATCCTTCAATGTTACAACATTTTAAACAAATATATATACAGTATTCCTATACACTTAGGAATGTAATCTTTATATTTCCTTCTCTCTGACTAATTTTGAACAGTTGCCTCAGACATTTATAAATTTGTTTAATGATTCAGAAGCAAATGTTTTGATGCTGGCGCATCATATTTAGAGAAGTTAGAGAGCCAATTGGTGAGGCAGGAGTCCGTGACCAATCCAAATATAATTTTGTCTGAAGAGTTTTTGGATTTTTGATTTTTCTTTATATTTTGCTGTAGCGTACATAACTGCCTTTGGCAACATTTATGGCAGCAGGTAGAATACTTGGTGTCACCATCCTAAAAGCCTCTTGCATTTGCATCTGAAACTCACCAACAAATTGCATGGCACTGCCGGTTGATGCTTTCTTTTTCCATTTTTGGCTGAATGGCAGAGTCTTAACGTATCAAGACAGATCAGTGAAAAATTACTGGTGTTAACGACCCCAAATTTGATCCAGAGTGCCCTGGAGCAGAAGGCTGATAACTTAATTGACTCGATCATCTAGCCATCCCTATCTGTTGAATGTCAAACTTCTCTGAAAGCCACCGATGCACGACTTCCCAGAAATGAGTTGGTGCACCATTGAGCTGCTACCAAACTGTCCATATGTCTACATATCTAGGCATTTGTCCAGTATCACATGTGTATTAAGATGACAGTCACTATTCAGGATGCCAACGAATATGGAGTAAGAACTTACTCCAAATACTCCACCAGACATATAGTGCAAAATGAACCAATGTCATGTATTTCACATGCATTATGGAGTGCATTCTACACATTATGACAGTTTGTTTCAGAAAAAACTGCCTCATCAATCTGTAAAACTACCCATTTGCAAAGATGAGATGAAATGCAGTACACAAAATTTCAGCTGTCGTTATTACAAAATAATGCAAAGCAATTGAAGAAAAATTAAGCTTAAATCATGAGTAATAAAACTATTGCTTCTATACTTCATTTCACCCTTTCACTGATGTATAAAAACTATTATTTAAATTCTTATTAATATTAAAAAATATTTGCTTCACTCTGTATTAAATAAATTTCATTTTTACGATTTCGCACGAATGACAGAATAACATTTCGTTTTCAACTTTTAACATTCCACACGAAAACGTAATTTTTCTCCGGATTTAAAATCGACGTTACGCTAGAGAAGAACGCATTTTCTATTTTTCCACCATTCACGGCGGCGCTTTTTATCGGTCTGCGGCGGCAAATTTCTAAAGGGACAAGCACATTAATTATTATTGCCAGTAACTGTAAATTCGTAAGTAATTATCATTTTCTAATGGGTAACGTTAATGGAAAACCGATTTAATAATTAACTGACCTTATGATTCGAACTACTTCGTGGAAGGCAGCATCCACATTGAGTGGTGGATCTTTGGCACTTGTCTCAATGTAAGAGATCTGAAAATAGAAAATGTGATACATAAATTTAATAAAGGTGCATATGTCATTTGTAAGACGTGTGCTGAATTATAAAGAACTGATCAAAGCCATGCCAGAGATTTTTAAAGATAATACTGAAACAAGAATGGATGTCTGTTAAACCTTCAAGAGCGATGATAATACTTGGTGACATCCTACTGAATGTTTGACATTGACTGCCATTTTGTTTTGACATATAGCATCCGAACATATGACCAGACTGACTTTTCAACCATTTTATACAGACTGGATCTACAGTCGGGTCAACATGCATGAATGAGAGATAGGCTATGACATCCTAATCAAAACAAATCCATAATACATTAAGGAAATCTAAATGAGATGCATTTCTGGATCTGGAATGCCTTACTGTACTATTTATCTGGATAACTCTTAAGGTCAGTATATAATTTGATGGCAGGATGGAGTCTCAAGGAGCCATTTGCAGCTGGGGCCAACAAACACATTGGTTTATAGTCAAACTCTGACTAGCAACTGACTTGGCATGGTGTGGCATTGGCATCAAAGTTGAACATCATTCAACTTTGGAGTCATTTCACTAGACCAAAAGTGCATGTCTTGAAGAGCAGAGAACAGTGAATATAGTAGAACTCTGCTATTGTACCACCGCATTGCCTTTGAACTTTAAACACACCTTTATTTTTTGAGTATATTTAAAGTCATATCTGAGAATATTGCTTATTTAAATAGTTATGCTATTTATTCATTTAATATCTAGATAGACATACTTTAAATAGGCTTTGTGGTATTACTAATTCTTACCAATTGAGTTGATCACAAATTACGATACATCATATTGTACTGTATTATAAAACATATTATTATACCTTTAATTGGGCAGCCAAGTCGCGTCCTTGATCTTCCGTCACTTTTCTCAAATGAATTAAATCCACTTTGTTTGCTACCAGTAACATTGGATATGAATCACTGTTTAAATAAAATAAAAAACTTTTAATTACAAAAATATATTTAAATAAATAATAATTTCTATAACTCAAACATCTACCATCAAAGATACAATCACAGAAATTGTATCATTGATATTTTTTAAATTTAACTATCCATTTCTGGAACATTTCGAACACATCTTGCATATTGCCTGCTTAAGAAATCCACAAAACACCAAAATTTGATAAGAGTATGCTTTAAGAAAGAAAATGCCAGAAATAATTTATAATTGCTGGAATTTTTAGTAAAAAATTAAATCATTTGAGCTTCTTTAAGCAGTGTTAGGTTAACACGAAAAGATTCGAAATGTCAAAAATCTCTTCATGTGTACAGTAATACCCCGAACTTACGCGATAGGTGGGACCGAGCAATAACAGCGTAAGTCGAATTCGCGTAAGTCGGGGTATAATTTCTCAACGTGTGTAAAATCCAAGTCGGATGTATGTAAGCTAATAAATGTTCTTGTTAATCTTATCTCGTCTTTTGATTCGTTCATTGTTACAAGAAATCACCACATAGAGTCTCTCGAATCTCCGTAGATATAACAAACACAGAAATAAATAACACGAAATAAATTGTAGCTNAATAAATATGCAAGACCGTGTATATATGTATTTTTATTATTACATATGAATAAACGTAGTAAGAAAGTATATATTTTTTATTTTTTGGGAGTCTCCAGAACGAATTAATCAAATTCCCATAAAAATCTATGGTAAATCGATAATCGGCTAACGAACAAAGTCTTAGAGCGGATTATGTTTGTTAACTGATCACCCACTGTATTATATAATTATTTTATATATACTCAATATTCTGAAATAAAACCTTCTAAAGAGCAAACAGGAGGAAGTCAGCTCTCAAATGAGCCATTAAACATATGCAGACTCCTAGATTGTTCAGTAGTTCAGTGTCACTATTCTCTCTTGTAAATCCAGACAAGAAAATGCCAATGGGGTAAATCGAAAACGATCCAACAAATTTATTCAGAAGTTAACACATTTACAATACTTATTGTAGAAATTAATTATTTTAAATTTCATCCAAATTGGTATATTGGTTGTGGAGATATTAAAGGTCAAAGTTGGCACTTTAACATTACATGTATGGCTGAGTTTTATTATCAACTGCTACTGTGCTCTATGATAATGTAATTGTTATGTTCAGAATCATACTATAAATATGAAAATTGAGAACTATGTTCTTTTAATGTCTAGCAAGATGATACACCAATGCAAAATGTGTCAAGCTAGGCTAATCGCCATCAATTTTTTAAGCTATAAAACTGTCATATTTTAAAATTAATAACTAAATGACTTAATGTTAAGATATGTTATTGCATTTCTTTATAGAATTTAGGAGGTAAGATTCTGGCTGTAATTAGTTGTAGGATTGAGTACATCCAAACAAGAGAAACAAACATGCTGAAAGGATAACCTGAACAATATTGCTAAATGTAACCTCTTGAATTTATCAGAATATATGAGCAATCTAGTAAATAATTAGAAGAATTATATAATAATTGTGTGAAGACTGTTTCACCATCATTGAGAAGGCAGAAATGCCCAATTTCTGCTTCCATTTCAAAATAATCTGGTAGATTTGTTAAATTTTTCATCGATTAAGGATAATGCTTGAGCTACTATTTACACTACAGAATTGTTTTTACAAAAATTCACTACCTTAATATTCACCCAGCTGACTTTTCTGAAAAACACACATTTTCAGTCTACTTCTAAGACCTGCTTTAGGTGAAAAGTTTTGCAGGAAAGGAGGAAGTTAAACCCAATTTAAAATGTACTACATTAGTTAGAACGACGGCAAACATGGACCAATTCAAAGTATTATAGACTTTTAAAGAAGAGAAGAAGGGATAATGTATAAACTGAAGAGAAGAGGTGCATTACACAAGTGTGGCAGACTGTCTTTAATATGCCATTATGAAAAACAATTTTATAACTTTTAAACTTGGACACATTAGTCAATTCTAGATTTTAATTTTGAATTTACACATAAATTCTTCTGCGTTTCACATATTAAAATATCAAAAAGTTAGAAGTTCCATTCTGTTTAAAAAAATTTTCAACTGAAGCAGGTCTTAGAAGTAGAATGAAAACATTTCCCCCCCGAAAAGTCAGCTGAGTGAATATCAAAGTACAAGTGGGTGATCGGTTAACGAACATAATCTGTTCCAAGACTTTGTTCGCTAACCAAATTGTTCATTAAAAACCTATGGTAAATCGATAATTGGTTATGGGAATTTGATTAATTTTTTCTGGAGACCTCAAAAAATAAAAAATATATACTTTCTTACTATGTTTACTTATATGTAATAACATAAATACATATATACACAGTCTTGCATTTTTATTAGTCATGTTTTTTCCATTTGTGAGGGTTAAAGAATCTGTCTAATGTCAATTGCTCTTCTCTCTTCTTCAGGATTTTTCAGAATTAATAATTAATAGCATTGTCATTGTAGAAATCCCCAAGCCTATTATCCTCAATCTGGTTTGGATGCCATTCTAAAACCATTGTTCTGACATCCTCCCACTTTTTCAAAAGATCTTTAATAGCAGATATCGGCATTAATCCTCTTTTTCAGAAGAAAACATATCTCACCGAGTTTCTTAATGTTCTTCATTCTTGGCATTCTTCTGTCGTCATATCTGTTTGAGTGCTTCAATGTTCTTTATTTCTCAGATGTGATTTTTGTTACTCCTTAAGCTGCTTGAGTCTTCTTGATTATACTGTATCTTTCTTAGATAAGATTGTGCCTACTGTAGACCTGTTCAAGCCATACTGCCTAGTAACATCAGACATCATCTGTCCACTCTCTACCTTTGCTATTACACTCTCACCTTTTGAAATTAAAAATGACACAAAACAAGTGCCCACCCAACAGTCTTGCAAATACTATAGAAGAATTGTTTCTGTCAGAAAAATAAAAGGCCGGAATAACAAGGGAGAGTTTCAATGTTTGGAGGAATACTATCCCATCAGTATATACTTGCTTGAGCATTGATATCGACGTCTCCCGTGCTCTGAAAAGTTTCGAATTGTTGCCCGAAGACAAGGAAAGACCAATTGGTATTCATTATTTTATGTCACTTCCTCATGTGTTTGTTCTGTGAGGTGTTTGTTGTCGGAACATAAGTCTTTCACAAAAGTGCTCATTATCCGATTTGTTCATAACCAATCACTCACTGTAATGAATTTTTGCACATTGTAGTATAGCCTGATTTCCAGAGAAGTTTTATTTTAGAATTTTTTTTATCTATGAAATAAATTTAATCTTGTCTCAAAGATAAAGAATAGGGCTACATTTGCTATACAAGCCACTTTGACTAAGCAGAAAGCTAATAGCCAGTTATTTGAAAAATTCTTATTGTACAGTTATATTACCAAGAGGGATTAATTAATTAAATAAGATAGAAGTATGAAAAATGAGCAAGTTGAAAGCATGGGCTAAAGTGAAGACAGAAATATATCTTACATGGAGAACCTGGAAGTTTGTCATCACCAATATTGTGGATGTGTACTATTTACTTGTACTTAAACTCTTCCAAAGCCACAGGACCCACTATTCAGTTATTCCTGAGAAAAATCACAATTAATTAGTTTTTCTACAACTATTAATATGTATGCAGAAGCACCATTGACGTGTTCATCGTGTGGCATTGCGTGAAGAGCATTACTATCTGGGTTAGAATCCAATATGAGATAAATCTATTATCTTTTTTTTGTTTTACATTTATAACTTAATCTTACTGTTATTAAATTTGTTATATACAATTTTTATACCATTTTTAATTATTGAACTTTAAATTTATTATTCTTTATATCAGGAAATTCAAAAAGTATTTTTGAACAATTTAAAGTTTTTGGAACAAAAAATATACATGCAATAAATACTTATGGTTTACTACAATTATGATTTCATAAGAATATAACATTTTAGGTGGTATTTATCATAAAAACAGTTAAGACGTAATGGTTCAGTGCACCGTGCACAAATAATTATTGCTACTTTATTTGCACAATCTTTACAATTTGTTTGAACAACAGAGGGTAAAAAACAAACTTCATTAAATTCTTTTTCGATTGCTCAAGCACTATGAAGTGCAATTAATCGAACACTAGGCATCCTTTCATCCGTTTATTTAGTTGATACGCCTTGTATGGTTTTATTTATACAGTCCATCATTTAGGTCACTAGCGAATGAAAAGAGAGTATCCTACCTATCAACTTTGGTCGCTTCCCTTTCTATATCTACCTGACAAATTCTAGTAGCACCCTTACCTCTCTGGTAAAACTGAACCATCCAGGCACAGTGTATAATCTTTGTCTAGTTTTCTTTTGTGATTAGATTAGGACTAGCTACCTACTAATATATTATATACAGTATATAGAATATATTTTTTGCTGGAAAGAGTATGGCTGATGTTGAGTTACTTATTACAATATCTTCGTATCTTTACATTTCAAATGTAATATAAATATATTAATATGTATAAGAACCTATAGTATGTTAAACAATACGAAATGTGATTATGTCATATGTATTTTCTAAAAATGGATGGAATGACCAAAATAAAAAAATAAATTTTCTATGACTTTAGAAACTGTACATAACAAATTTAATAACAATAAGATTAAATTATAAATGTAAAAAAACATTTTATCTTATATGGGATTCAAACCCACATATTAATGCTCTTCAATCAACGCCTTAACTAATCACACCACTCCATGAATCACACTTCTATTAATAGTTCTAAAAAAACTTTGTGATTTTCTCCAGAATGCCTGAATAGTGGATCCTGTGGCTTTGGCAGAGTTTAAGTATGAATAAGTACTAAACATCCACAAAATTTTGTCAAAATTGATAACAACCTTCCGGGTTCCCTTTGTTAGTAGATTTGGGCGATACTTATCCACAATATTTGAACATTATTATGTTATATAAAATAAGATTCATTTAACTCTGTCAATGAATGCAAAACCTGCTTTTAAATCAAAATCAATTCTTTAAATTTACAATTACCGGTAGTAGAGGATTTCATCCTTTTCAAAATAGTCTGTCAGATTGCAATAAACTTTGCTTAAATTGTCTAAATAAAGGACATCACATTGGAATCAGAACTAATGCTAGCCATCTTGTTTCTTCATTAGAATACAGATAAAATTTTAACTGCCTAAAATTAACCAGTTAACTTACTTTACAGTTTATTCTAAAGATTTACATTCGTAACACAAATCAAGATAATTCTATGGATACCTTTATCTACAGAATTATCCTTGATATATTTTACAAGTGAATTTAAATTATAAAATATGTGCAATTTGCCCTAAATTAGTTAAAAGTGTAAGGTAAAAATGACTGTTTTGATTTGTACTATGTATATGAGAAAGATTATTATATTTAAAATAAAAAGTTTAAAGTAGTGATATTGATAAGCATTTGTTGCTAAGTAAGAAAAGGTCTGTTTGGAATTCAACTAATGAGACCAGATATCATTCAAAACCTACCTATAGTTTCCAATGATTTACCAGTTGCTACCAGACTCAAAGATCTTTGAGGGAGAGTTAGATAATGACTGATCAAATACGGATAATTTCATTTACTGCTATTAGGAAGTATTTTCAAACAGATCCACATTTACGTCACAAAGACATTCTATTACTAGATATACAAATAAGCAATCATCTTACTATTTGTTATTTATTATTTCTTATTGTAGAATATTTTTGAGAATAGAAATTAATTCGTTCTGTCAAGCAAAGTGTGATATTTTTTAAGAAGTCATGTTATTAGAATGCTTTATGATTTCACCATCTTCCCATTGGCAGAAATGTTTGCAGAAGCAATTTCAAACCTAAATTTATCTACATGGTTTATATAATTGCCATATAAAACACCATCACTATTTCATGTTATATCAGAAACCTTAACAATAATTACATCATTGAACAAGTACTTTCAAGCCTTTTCTGGCTTATCATTGGGAATATATCCACAGAAAAAAACTACATAAATATGAAACAGAATGCAATGGGCTTTTAAATCTAAATTGCTTACATGTTACAAAACCATCATTCTTCCTATATTCTATTATAAAATCTCTTTTTACCTCTGAAGATGTAAACGTTATTGAAATCGTAGAATAAATTGAACCAAATATTAGAAATAGTAAGTTCATTCAAATTTTAAATTAGAACATTTAAACTAGTGACAAGCAACCTTTCCCAGATGCGAGTCTCAAGTAAAAACTTTAAACTCCCAGCAGACCACATGCACGTTTATAGAGTTGTAGGCTTAAAGTGTGCCAAGTACCAATATACTCCATAATTGTCATTACACTAACGTACTAAAATAATATTGCTAATAATATGAAAACTAATAATATACAGTTTATTCTGACGTATTCACCGGTCAAGGTTAATTTGAATGTTCTCTGCCCTGAATATTATATTAATTAGTGCAGCATTAAGGCACAATGTAGAAAATGGGAAAATAAAATTGCCAACAAAGCCCCAGGGTAGAACACTAGAACCACATTTGAGTGCTCATGACCAATGTTTCCTCTAAGCTGTGCAGTCGCGCACTCCTCAAATTGTTGCTGTGCATGAGAATTCGTGCCGCGCAGGCAAGCATGCACACCGATTTGAATTGTTGTTTACTTTTTTCTCACTCTGTCTGCAACATGATTATTGCTATGTATATTCAGATTAAATACATTAAATCATTGACAAAAGATAATATTTTGTATAAATGTATGTTTTAAAATAAATTTTAATCTCTACTTTATAATTAATTATTTTAATTTTTATAGGAAAAAATAAGATTTTATATATATATGCTTGGAAAAATTTTTTGCTCAGAGAAGTATATGTTTCGCTCATCTACAAATAGAATTAGAGGGAACATTGCTCACGACCAATTTAAAAATTAAAAGAAATACAAACTGGAAAAAGTAAATATTAATCACATCAGTAACCTTTGTTTTATTCCAGTACTAATTAAATTACCGAATTAAAAGTATTGTTTTTGAATAACTGTACCATCAAAGATGACTCAAAACTATAAGGAAACCTTTACAACATAAACTACTTTTATCAACTTCTCAAACAAAGCGGGATCTTGGCAACGACCGTCCAGATCTCTAATAAAGCAAAAAACAGCAAATTTCAAGAACAAGAAGAAAATATTTGGTTGCAAGACAACTTAACTGCACAAGACACCGGGATGAATACAAACAGTGCGAGTCACATTAACTGGTTGACTGGCACGGATACGATTAAAACTTGCAAACATTTTCGTAGCCACTTCTGGGCTCTTCTTCAGGCTTCTTTTTTATTCAAAACAAGCTGCCAGCTTGTTTTGAATAAAAAAAAAAAAAAAGAAGCCTGAAGAGTTACAAAAACTTTTGTGGCGTAGTAAACACTAGTATTGTGTTTTATTCCAAAGACACATGGCAAATTTTCCATCAAATTTCTTTATTAGCTGAAGAGGGACAAAGCCCGAAACGAGTACAAAACAATGTACCGTATCGACTCAACTAATAAAGGAATTTGATGAAAAATTTGCCATGTGTCTTTGGAATAAAACACAATACTAGTGTTTAATACGCCACAAATATAAAACAGGACACGGTTTCAAAAAGAAAATCAAAAAAGTTACAAAAACATTCACAAGTTTAATCGTACGCATGCCGGTCGACCGGTTAATGCAAGTCGTATTGCAAGACAACCACGAAATCATAAAAACTACAACCACAAACAATAATTCGCACGCGCTTTCCACACTACTTCAGAGAAGGCTCACAAAGCAAGCACGAGACCGGGAAAAGGACACGGATAAAAGACGGAGCGTACCATCCAAAATACACCAGATACCGTCCACTTCCGTATGCTGAATGTACGAATCTTCAATGGTCGGGTCATAATCGGTGACAAACAGTTTTTGGAAGAACTGAATGGTGAGTGCAGATTTTCCAACTCCTCCATCTCCAACTACAACCAGTTTGTACGTAGTCAAATTCTCATTTGGTGGTTTTGACATCTTGGAATGTTTTTCTTTTTTTTTTTTTACACTAAAAAGAATGCTAAATTTAGTACAAAGAATGCATTCTTCTTAACTACCAAGTACACATTACGCACTAATTGATAATTAACTGTCGAGATGCGTTTAAAACATTAACTGTGGTCGATTTATCCGATTTACCAGCTGCAAATGCACCAAATATAAACAGAAATGGTCAAAAGCATTGAAATCCTTCACATTTTCTAAGATTCTGCAACCAATCATTTCTACGTCGACACGAATTATTCATGTCTTATAATTACTTCAAACGTTACTCCAACGTACTTCATCCTTACGACTTAACTCGGACCGTCGACTTGACCAAAAATACTCTTCTTCCGTAACATTTTGATTATATTTCTTACTATTAAACGAAATATCCAAATATCTCGCCGATTCAATATGGCGGATAAGCGATAAGGGCGCCGATTAAGGTTTTTTTATTTTTTTTTTTTAGGTAATTAAATTAAATTAAATTAGTTTATTAATTTGTTATTTTATTAATTACTTTTATCTTGGATTATTTATTAATATGATAAAATCTTATATTTTTATTAAAAAGTTTATATAAATAAAATCTTTGGTTTTAGGGACGTGGGTTCGCGCCTAAACAACGGGCTGGGTGGTGTAATTCTGAGTTCTTTTCAATGCCTAATACCTAAATAAGGATCGGATATTCGTAAAAAGTCCTCCCCAGAAGGAATCTCTCGGCAAGTCGCCCGTGCGTGTGTTGCCGTACCTCATCAAACCAAACTAAACTCAACGTTAACTGACAGATTTGTAACTTTTTGCGCCATGTGGGCACTAAGAAAAACCTTTGCTTTCACCACATGCCCATTTTGTGTCCACCAGTGGCCAAGCGGTCTTCGTACCCCGAACACTGGGAGTTCGATCGTGGGTTCGCACCTCGCTCGGACGGGCTGGGAAGTGGAGTTTTCCGGGTTTTCTCCGTGTCTTTAAGCACCCTTTAAATTTTGAGTTATTCTCCCTTTGAATGTTCTGAATTCACCATTAATTTCAAACTTAACCTACCACAACGGAGTCTACGAGCGCCTTCTCATTGCTAGCGATGTTATAGCTATCGTATCACTCCGCCATTTTATGGACATACAAATCTGCTTCACGATCGCCGATCGGTAAGCGGTAATTTGACTTCATCGTCCTCTCGATACACATGCGATTTTTACTCTGTCTCTGTTACACAATCAACTGGCAAATTTCATATAAGTGCTCCTATTGGTTAAAATACACGGTAATTTATTGGCTAAAACGCATACAGGAAATGGCGGCCGTCCATTACCTGAATGCTTCACTATTTACCTTCCTCCGATTGCGAATCCCCTAGATTTCGAGCACAGCTTTAAGTTGAAAATTCCCTCGTAAACCAGTTGCAAAAACTGATCCGATCCGCGCGGCTTTACACGATTACAAAACTAATGCCAAAGCGGTAAACACGCGATTGTAATGCTGATCCATATTCGCCTGTTTTCCCTATCAGAAAGGATGACTGTAAATAGGTTTTAGTGTTAACTGGTATTTCAATGTGCATGGTGTTCTGCAGTTCATAAACTGCAGGACACCATGCACATTGCAAAGTTAAAGAAAATTTAGTGATTTGTACAATTCAATCATCATTTCAACTTTCGATAAACACTGGCGACGTGTGCCATTGTCAGCGCTAAAAACTAACTGTTAACAACTGTACTTATTTATGTTTAAATTATTTGCATGCTTTGCAAATTTTAATTAAAAATAAATATTATTCGATACTGGACAGTTTTATAGTGTCATATTTTAGAAATGATCGACATATTTTCGAAACAGTAATAATATTTTATCAACCCGAAAAACATCGACAATGTAAGGGATGACGATAGGGAGAAAAAAATCTTTATACTATTTTATTAAAATAATTGATACATTTGAAGCGAATCAACGATAATTATGGTCTGCAGGCATTTCAACATAAATTGGCAGTTACCAAAACAGACTAAACACCATTCATAAGGGAGAAAGTGGGCACGAAATGCCCCAGGGTAGCAATAAATAATTAACTAATTAAAACTAATAAAGCACAAGCTCCCTACAAGTGGGTGAAGAGTGGTTCAATCTGGTTTGATTTAAAATATGCTCTCCACTTGAAATTAGTAGCGTAGTGTATACACTATACTTTACCGTTAGCAATGGCCACCCGTGCCCTAAAGTAAAAATTTGTTTCTTTGGATTGTTAAAAAAAATATTTTTCGATATGCATGGCATCCGGTGCAAAACTATCAATATTTAGAGGAATTTGTGTCAGGTTTTAGAGGAATTCTATTAATTTTAGGGGAAAGTTTCAGATCTATTGAGGGAGTTTTAACCATAGAAGATTAGCAACCCTATTTAAAATTATTTGTAGTTTGAAAACACTAAATAGGTTGAGCAAATAGGAATCTGATTAATTTATTAATTGTTGACTAAAAGTTAAATAAACGCAGACGAAAATTATGTAAACAATACTCAAATATTATAAATACAGTATAAATAAATTCCGTACTGTAAATATAATCGATCGAAAATTGCATGAAATGCCGTTCGTAATTTTATTTGTTCTGGGTTTGTTAAATACAGGTATATTATTTCACACATAATTTTCAATATTGTTAATGATAAGAAGTACAGTACCTTAAACTAAACTATATTTTAATTATAATTGTTAAATTATAATATTATAATGTGGCTAGAATTAGATATGGAAGAGTTGCTGTAATTTTGTATTTTAGGCAGTATTTTTCTTAAGTAATATTTGTTGTTCGTGTAGTAGGAATGTTTATATTGCAGATTAGTAATTACTAATACTTTAAAATTACTTACTAATAAATATAGGTATACAGCTTGCATCTGGAAGATCAGGTTATCCAGTACTTGACAATTGTGAAGTTCCCTGTTTGATACTGGGAGACGGTAATCCAACTTGTGATGATGCTTGCACGAAAGCTGGGAGTTCCTATGGCTATTGTTATGCCTGGACGTGTTATTGTGAAAACGTTTCAGATGAGATATTAGTTCTTGGAGATAAAGGTGTTGTCGGTTGTTACGGATTGTTCTTGTAAAATGCTGATAAAAGTAACATTTTTCCAGAGAAAATACTAGATTTTCCATAATAAAAATTGATATTTTTCTTGAAATTGTTGTTGCAGAATCTTTTTGTAGTTTAAGTTTCGTATTCAGCTCTGTCTAGATAATGTACAGTCGATTCCCCTATAAAACGGGTTCGTATAGTTCGGATTCCTATATGACGGCGAAAAAATTGCGACAGTATTCGTACAAACACGCTAAAAATCTCGTATAATNTATGAAGACACTATTTTTGTTCTTTCATTTTGACGTCTATCAATTTCTATTAAATAGACTTTCCTACAAAAAAAATCCAAATTAATTATTATTATTGTTGTTTATCAATAAGTATTCTTATTCAAACAAATGACATTATATATCCCATAAAAAGACTGGTGGAAGAACCAGGTTAACGAGTAAAGCTCAATGAAAGCACTTAAATAAAGGAAACTTTTGAAAGTTGTGGCATAAGAATATGATAACATATCTGACATTAAGACTTACATTTGAATAAAGTGCACATTACACAGACTACAACTACAAGAAATTTTGGATGAAGCAATGTCACAGAGGTAATAAATCAGGAAAACAAACATCGTCATAGAAAAAGGCTTCAAGCTTTACTTTGTGCCATAAAGTTGTTGCACCCACAATTTGTCTGAAATTTAGAGCATCTTTGAGCAATATCAGTGAAGGAACTTTAACACATGAAATAAAGCTCAAATCCTGATTTATTGTCACAGTAAGATCGGACATGTTAGGTGCCATCTCTTGCTAAATTTAATAATTATAACTAAATTAATATTTTAATAATTAACTTAAAAGGTTCTAAAGAAAGAAATTGGCTCAAAACAGGACTCAGACCAACAACTCCTGCTTACTGTGCAGTAGTAGTAGTAATATAATTCGATATAATTCGGCAATCATTTAGCTTTAATAAATGGACTACAGTGGGTGATCAGTTAATGAACAAATCGAATAATGAACACTTTCGCGAAAGATTTTTATGATCAGACAACAAACACATGTTCAGATAACGAACACTTCACTGAACAAACACAAGAAGAAGCGACGTAAAATAACGAATACTGATTGGTCTTCCTTTGTCTTCAGGCAACAGTTCAAAACTTTTCGGAGTGTGGGAGACGCTGACATTGACGTTCAACCCAGTATATACTGATTGGATAGTATTCCTCCGAACTTTGAAACTCTCCCTTGTAATTCCAGCCTTTTATATTTCTGGTAGAAACAATCCTTTTACGTTTTCTTCTGAAAGAGCGGATTTATGCCAATATCTGCTATTAAAGATCTTTTGAAGATGTGGGAGGATGTCAGAACAATGGTCTTAAAATGGCATCCAAACCAGGTTGAGATTAATAGGCTTAGGGATCTCTACAATTACAATGCGATTAATTACTTCTGAAAAATCACAAAGACAAAAAAGTAATCGACATTTGACACATTCTTTAACCCCCACAAATGGAAAAAACATGACAAATAAATATGCAAGAACGTGTATATATATGTATTTTTATTATTACATATGAATAAACGTAGTAAGAAAGTATATATTTTTTATTTTTTGGGAGTCTCCAGAACGAATTAATCAAATTCCCATAGAAATCTATGGTAAATCGATAATCGGCTAACGAACAAAGTCTTAGAATGGATTATGTTTGTAAACTGATCACCCACTGTATTATATAATTATTTTATATATACTCAATATTCTGAAATAAAACCTTCTAAAGAGCAAACAGGAGGAAGTCAGCTCTCAAATGAGCCATTAAACATATGCAGACTCCTAGATTGTTCAGTAGTTCAGTGTCACTATTCTCTCTTGTAAATCCAGACAAGAAAATGCCAATGGGGTAAATCGAAAACGATCCAACAAATTTATTCAGAAGTTAACACATTTACAATACTTATTGTAGAAATTAATTATTTTAAATTTCATCCAAATTGGTATATTGGTTGTGGAGATATTAAAGGTCAAAGTTGGCACTTTAACATTACATGTATGGCTGAGTTTTATTATCAACTGCTACTGTGCTCTATGATAATGTAATTGTTATGTTCAGAATCATACTATAAATATGAAAATTGAGAACTATGTTCTTTTAATGTCTAGCAAGATGATACACCAATGCAAAATGTGTCAAGCTAGGCTAATCGCCATCAATTTTTTAAGCTATAAAACTGTCATATTTTAAAATTAATAACTAAATGACTTAATGTTAAGATATGTTATTGCATTTCTTTATAGAATTTAGGAGGTAAGATTCTGGCTGTAATTAGTTGTAGGATTGAGTACATCCAAACAAGAGAAACAAACATGCTGAAAGGATAACCTGAACAATATTGCTAAATGTAACCTCTTGAATTTATCAGAATATATGAGCAATCTAGTAAATAATTAGAAGAATTATATAATAATTGTGTGAAGACTGTTTCACCATCATTGAGAAGGCAGAAATGCCCAATTTCTGCTTCCATTTCAAAATAATCTGGTAGATTTGTTAAATTTTTCATCGATTAAGGGTAATGCTTGAGCTACTATTTACACTACAGAATTGTTTTTACAAAAATTCACTACCTTAATATTCACCCAGCTGACTTTTCTGAAAAACAAACATTTTCAGTCTACTTCTAAGACCTGCTTTAGGTGAAAAGTTTTGCAGGGAAGGAGGAAGTTAAACCCAATTTAAAATGTACTACATTAGTTAGAACGACGGCAAACATGGACCAATTCAAAGTATTATAGACTTTTAAAGAAGAGAAGAAGGGATAATGTATAAACTGAAGAGAAGAGGTGCATTACACAAGTGCGGCAGACTGTCTTTGATATGTCATTATGAAAAACAATTTTATAACTTTTACACTTGGACACATTAGTCAATTCTAGAAGATTTTAATTTCGAATTTACACATGAATTCTTCTGCGTTTCACATATTAAAATATCAAAAAGTTAGAAGTTCCATTCTGTTTAAAAAATTTTTCAACTGAAGCAGATCTTAGAAGTAGAACGAAAACATTCCCCCCCCTGAAAAGTCAGCTGAGTGAATATCAAAGTACAAGTGGGTGATAGGTTAACAAACAATCTGTTCCAAGACTTTGTTCGCTAACCAAATTGTTCATTAAAAACCTATGGTAAATCGATAATTGGTTATGGGAATTTGATTAATTTGTTCTGGAGACCTCAAAAAATAAAAAATATATACTTTCTTACTATGTTTACTTATATGTAATAACATAAATACATATATACACAGTCTTGCATTTTTATTAGTCATGTTTTTTCCATTTGTGAGGGTTAAAGAATCTGTCTAATGTCAATTGCTCTTCTCTCTTCTTCAGGATTTTTCAGAATTAATAATTAATAGCATTGTCATTGTAGAAATCCCCAAGCCTATTATCCTCAATCTGGTTTGGATGCCATTCTAAGACCATTGTTCTGACATCCTCCCACTTTTTCAAAAGATCTTTAATAGCAGATATCGGCATTAATCCTCTTTTTCAGAAGAAAACATATCTCACCGAGTTTCTTAATGTTCTTCATTCTTGGCATTCTTCTGTCGTCATATCTGTTTGAGTGCTTCAATGTTCTTTATTTCTCAGATGTGATTTTTGTTACTCCTTAAGCTGCTTGAGTCTTCTTGATTATACTGTATCTTTCTTAGATAAGATTGTGCCTACTGTAGACCTGTTCAAGCCATACTGCCTAGTAACATCAGACATCATCTGTCCACTCTCTACCTTTGCTATTACACTCTCACCTTTTGAAATTAAAAATGACACAAAACAAGTGCCCACCCAACAGTCTTGCAAATACTATAGAAGAATTGTTTCTGTCAGAAAAATAAAAGGCCGGAATAACAAGGGAGAGTTTCAATGTTTGGAGGAATACTATCCCATCAGTATATACTTGCTTGAGCATTGATATCGACGTCTCCCGTGCTCTGAAAAGTTTCGAATTGTTGCCCGAAGACAAGGAAAGACCAATTGGTATTCATTATTTTATGTCACNATGACGGCGAAAAAATTGCGACAGTATTCGTACAAACACGCTAAAAATCTCGTATAATACGGTAAAACGTTATCGCCGACTCGTGTCGCGACAGGATTGGTCGAATCTAGACCAATAGCGGATATTGTACAAACCGTTGAGTTTAAACGAGTAGCGGACCTACTAAAAACCATTTATTATTTAACTGCCATTAAAATTATATTTATATTAATGATGTCTCCAAAGTTCAGCGAATTTTTCGCAAAAAAATAATTTATCAGGAAGCACGCGAGCGCCATTCGATGACAAGCTCCACGATGGAAACAAGCTTAAGCAATGGCGTCGTCGAACGGTGCACGCTCGGTAAGTAATCCTACAATTTTTTGTTTATAGCATAGTTTATATAAATTATTCCCAAAAAATTATATGTATTTTGGAAATGTTGAGTCGAATTAGTCTAGAATCGATTAATTTTATGGAAGAAAACCTTTCAAACAGCCGTAGTCCGTAAACTGCATACGTGCCGGGCTGTGATGGCTCATGTATTCAAGGAATCTTAGAACATCAATTTCATAAAGAACTGAACGTATCTACCGTGTTATAGGGGGGTCGACTGTATATACAGTATTTAACAATTCAAATGCAATGAAATCTGGCATACCGACACTTCAGGACACATTTCCATTTGATGCTACAAGCAACAATAAAGCAAGTTTCTTCACATAAGCACGCGTTTTTCGCTTTCGTATCCAAGTTTTGAATATAAAAGTGGCCACAATAATTAAAATGTCGTTCTTATGCGCTACGATGACCATCACCTTTCTCCAACATAATAACATAACATTATCTTGCTTTATTTGTTGTGAAGCTGTTTTTTAAAATCACGCGATTCGAGTAAATTGGATGTCTGAGAGTTTAATGCCGAGTCTAAATCTGTCGCTTCACAAATCGTTGAAGATGTTACTACAGCTGATTTTGAAAGGTCAATGTATAAAATTGCTAGTCTAATAGTGCACTGTGTGGAGGGTACTGCACTGTTAACCGTATCCTTAGCCAGAACCAGCAGCTGCATGCCTCTAATTGGGAAATACACCCACTTTTCCGTTTATTTTCCTACCCAGAATCAAAGAAAATGTCGTAGACATACAAATTCATATAAAGCGACAGGGCACGTTTTCACGTCTGCGCAACAGTTGACATCTGCAACTTCCACATTTAACAATAAACCCTAGTGTTTTCTGACTGATTTACACTTCACTCAATATAGAGTTACAATGTGATATAGATTCATAGTTATATTTATAATTATCTTTGAACAATTCTTCCTTGAAACTAATCCTAATAGGTCTGTGAAATGATTTGTGATCGCCCAGAAATACTGAGATGCTTGACCCACTCGTCGTTTACCAATTTCAACAGTAGCAATACCACGAGTAGTCCACTTTCACGTAAGATGGACCGCCTCCACATACAGAAAGATGCATACAGCAGTCTCTGCGATAATATTTTATTAACAACAGAGTGATTATCCATGTATTTTCTACTGTCTGACCACCTCGTTTAACGTGTAACTTTTGGTTAGGGAAACAATTAAAACTGTGGTGTATCGAAGACATTTTTCAAATTTGGTAGCCTTAAAGGAGGAACTGTGTCTTAAAATGGACTCTATTGTTTGTGCAGTAATGGTTCCTAGATCTCACTAAGAGCAGCCAGATGGCCGAGCGGTCAAGGTGGCAGTCTACCGCTCCGGGGGACCCGGGTTCGAATCCGAACGGGTCGAAAAATCCCCAGGAATTTTCGGGAAGTGGTCCGTTCGGATATGTCGGGCCCCACCCGGCAGCCCCATTGTGGGCCTGGCCGAACCCATAATGGGCCTGCAAAAAAGAGGCCCTCTTAGTGCCCACAGGGCGGAAAGAGTTAAAAAATCTCACTAAGATTTGACGGCCGGGTAAGAAATAAAAGAAAATACTTATTTGTAACGGTAAATTTAAAAATATTCTTGATTGTTTTCTGTCCTTGATATTTACCTGTTCTGAAATAATATAGAATATATAAAAAATCTGATAATTATATATTCAAATTTTATTAATTTCAAATACATTTTACACAAAGATACGAACTATCGATTCGAAACAATACCCATACAAGTATAGTGTAAAATTTCATACAAATTTTTAAAATAAACCCTACATGAATTTTACATTAACACGTAATTCAGTTTACATTTACATTTACTGACATTCTAAAATAATTCCTGGTTTTTCTCGCAAACTTTAACATTAAGTACATCGATAATGAGATAGGTAAGTACTCTGTTACGTATCGTTGTATTTCGTGTGTCCAATATCCAGTGGTATGACGTGAGGCACCTATGGTTCTTACAGCATCCGAAACAAACGCATCGCCAGTAGGAATTAGAAATTTGCACCGAACGTAGTTTATAACTCGAGTCGATACAAGATTAGGAATGAGGGATTGGATGCGAAGTCCTTCATTCTCGTACTCGAAAGAAATTGCTCTAGTAAAGCGATCCGAAAATGCTTTACAAGATGAATAGTGACTGAAGCAGGGAACAGGATAAATGGAAGAAAACGATGATATAGTTACTACGATGCCTCGTTTCTTAGAGAGCATGGACGATAGCATCAACTGGGATAAATTCACCACTGCTTTTACATGTAAATTAATCATTGATAAAAGATTTGTATCGGTTTCTGATAGGAAGAGACAAGGAACATTTCCAATAATGCCAGCGTTATTGATTACCACAGATATATCCTTACCTCTCGCTTCCTCGGCCACACGATGGAAAGCAATATCATTTCCTAAATCGACAGGGATGTAACGACATTCAACACCATAAGTTTTTCGGATTTCTTCGGCCGTAGTTCGAAGAGTTTGCTCTGTTCTGGCCACAATTATCAGATTCATTCCGTTTTTGGCCAGTTCGAAAGCGTAACTGCGGCCGATGCCCGAATTACCACCAGTGACGATTGCCCATCTTCCACTTTCATTTCGAAGAGGATTGAAGAAACGACAAACTACATACACAAAGACGAATCGAAGAAAAACTGATAAAATGTAGAAACTGGCAAGAAAACCGGATACTACTAAACTGTATTCGTAATATAGAGAGTTGTGTTTACACGGAAGTTGTGTAATTTCCTCCATGGTTAAAGTGTCAATAGTTGAAACATTTTTCCTCTTCTGCTATTTATACGATTACTGACAAGTGAGAATGATTGCAGCAATAACTAACACTTGTATCACTATACTGAATGTTTTTATACCAAGGATTCTTACAGACTAATTCATAATTGAAATATTTAACCTTGTATTTTGTAAATTATTCAAACACATATACCATCTCACGCAATGTTCAAGGCATGGAACGTTATGAATATAAATGACTAGCGTGTTTATTATCCGGGTTCGGTTTAGACCGGAAGTTACGTGAATTCAATTCAAAACTTTCCCCCTCAATGGAGTTACATAGATGACCGGCATGACTGTGTTGTTATGAGGAAAAGTTTATGAAATACAGGAAGCAGGACACTACTAATTTGAATTTTATTATTGTTAATAACCTGTCCAAAACCAAAAAACTTCTTTGGAACTTAACGATTTTTTATGTTAATTAATCACTTCGGCCATCACCACCCTCACCTCGTCCATCACCACCCGGTCGCCCCATTGTGGGCCTGGCCGAACTCGTAATGGGCCTGCTATAAGAGGTCCTCCTAGTGCCCACAGGGCGGGTAGTGTATATAAAAAACAATAGTATGATGCAATATGGTAAGTTTATAAAATTCGGATTAAATGCGATATTTTATTATTGTTTTTTTCGGGCTATCGAACAAGGAAAAAATATAAAACAAATAGAAATAATATCCAAACTTCTATATAATACAATAAAAATAATAAAATATAAAATAAATAAATAAAGTTAACAATTTAACAGTTAAATAAGAGCCAGTTTCCTTATAGAAAGTTCTTCCTAGGTATCCTCCTATTGCTACATTTTGACTTATCCTATGGTATTATTATACGGAATGTTTATTGAAGTAATTAATTGTGGGATTAATTAATTAAGTTTAATTGTTTCTTTGTGATAAATTACAAATATATTGTGAAGATATATTGAACTTGTCCTACATTTCAATTGTCTGAAGCTACCAGGAAGTATCATAGTATTAAGGTCATAAAGATAAAATATTCCTCAGACAAGTGTTAGAATTGCAAACAGGAAAAGAAGAAAATGCTATAAAATAGAATAATAAAATATTTATGAACATCCATTACTTACGACAGTTTTATGTTTATTGAATAATAATTATATTTACGATAAATTATCAAATTTTTACCATTGTACACTTCCATACTGTCAAGGCGATATATATATATTTTAGAGTTAAACCTGTCTAAAACAAACATCCTACTTTAAAAAGAATTGCTAAATTACTTTAGTTTAGATAATATTTTATTCACTTAAAAAAAGGGACGAATTTTTATCAATGTAAAACATCTCACCTCTTCTTCAGGAAGTCAAGAGTTCCTTCTTAAATAAAAGTTTAGTAGGGAATGAACGAACTTGGGGACAAATCCCATTAATTAATTGACTGATTTGTTAATTAATCCACTGATTTTCTTCGCTTTTCTTCATGTTTAACCATATCACTAGCCACCTAGGTTATGTCGACCTTAGCCTATTGACTAAGTTCTCTTTTGCTCTGGCACACTCATTAAATAAAGAAAACAGGATCTGAGATAAAGGTTCTTGTCTCACCTTCACAGGTAACTATAATTAATACAGGTAAGCTCTCTCGATAAGAATAATTCAATTTAGGCGTATACAGTCGACCCCCCTATAACACTGTTGTTAATTCCGTTTTATATGAATTCCACGTTGTACGAGTCATTTAGATTTTACAAATACGTGATCCGTTCACAACCTGGCACACGTATTTGTAAAATCTAAGTGACTCGTACAACATGGAATTCATATAAAACGGAATTAACAACAGATTTACAGGGGGGGTCGACTGTATTTTATTTCAGTTCTGAGATATTATAAGGATATTATATTTTTTGCTTACTGTGTACATGCGATATACACACGAATATATATATATATATATTGTTTATACAAATTCTTTTTATTATGTTTCATTGTGTAAATAAATATAGTTATATTATACAAAGTTGAATTCCATTGCCAAATTGACATTTTCTCCTTACCACTAGCATTTACCACTCGGATATACAAAATTAAATAGGAATTTGGTTCTTTTTTCCGATCTCTGTCACTCACAATTACATTTTGTCAACCATTTTATAGAAAAACCCGAATTTTACACACTACCCAAGAAAACAATTATCTTTCCAACGAGATATACACTGCAGTGATTCTCGCTATCAATAGAAAACGTTAGCTTTAAAATTTGGAAAATAATGGAGAGCGAAAATGAATATTATAATAAGGAGAGTAACCCACGTAGTCGGAAAAAACGGAGAAGAGAAAACATGTTATATGCAGATGTATGTCAAGGAATGAGAACAAGTTTCAGATTTAAGAGATATTAAAAGGAAAGAGAAAATAAATTTTATGCAAATTAAATTAATTTTCTTTTTCCCGTTTTTACTTTTAATTTATAGCCATTCGTACCATATGCCAAGAGTAAGAATTGAAAATATGTAACTTTATTAAGTTTAACTTCTTTTTGTCTTTATATTATTTAATGTACTTTTTAGACTATCATCAAACTATTACTATTCCAAACTTATTGTACTTTTAATAATGAGGACATAAATAAATTAATTTGGAAAAAAACAGCTTTATTTTCCGGTATGCATTCCGAGTCCTTCACGATTCATTTTCATCCAGAATTTACGTAAAACACCAAGGATGGAGAGTCGGAATTGGAATCGGGAGACGAGGAGTCGAATCTTTTTATGGGAGTAACGAGTCGGAATGACAGTCAGAAAACTTATTAGAGAGGTTGAGGCAGACGTTTTAAACGCGAAAACGTGTAGGTCGGACGTTCAGTGCCGCCTTCCTGTGAGTCTAAAAGTTTGACAATGACGTTTGGAACGTCTAGCATGATTCCACTGACGTTCCAAACGCCATTGTCAAACTTCTAGACTCACAGGAAGGCGGCACTGAACGTCCGACGTACACGTTTTCGCGTTGAAAACGTCTGCCGCATATTTTCTATTAAATCGTACATTTTTGTTCGCATCTAAAAAAGTACATACAATATTGAATATTGTTTACTTTATAAATCTTAAAACAATCCATTTATTCAATGGATGGTGTAAAGCAGAAA